TAAAAAATATATATGTATATAATTATATTAAAGTTATTTATATTTAAAATTTTAAAAAACTGGTTCTTTTTAACATAATGTAAACATATAAAGAAGAACAAATATAATTATAATTATAATAAATATATAAAAATAGTAATAAACAAATACTCCTCCTTCCATTACAGATAATCTTTTTTTTAGTCTCAAGATAACTTTTCGGGATTTTTGATAAATTTAATAATTTTAAACATACGTAACAAATATAAATAAGTTTAATAAAATTACACACGGACTAATTCAAAACTCCAGTATTTTTATATATTTTTCTACAAAATGATGTTCATACTATATATATTTGAGTGAAACGTAGTGCTTAAAGTATTTAAATACCTATTTTTTTTAATTATATACTCCCTCCGTCCCAATACAATAATCTTATTTACCATTTTTGTTTATCTCAAAATAATAGTCTTATTTCCGTAAATAACTACATCACCATAAAATTATTCTTATTTTTTCATTTTTATTACACAATTATCATTATATTTTACACTAATACATTCACAAGGGCAAAAAGGTCTTTTAACTATATTTTTTACCAACTACCAATATAATATTAATATTTTTTAAATCTCGTGTCCAACCTAACTATAATTTTGGGACAGATAGAGTATTATATTATATTTTTTAAATAATAACAACACTACTTATATAAAATAATATTACTATAACTATTATAATTAATATACTCCCTCCGTCCCATAATAAAGTATCCATTTTTTCATTTTATTACGTCTCATAACAAAGTATCCATTTTCTTTTTTAGTAGCTCTACTTCTACCTAACATTACAAATACCCTTACAACTTACAATATATTACACAAATGTCATTACTTTTATATCATACATCCTAATAAGGTTATTTTAATCATTTCTACTTTATTTCTATTAAATCTCAATATAATACTAATATTTCTAAAATTACGTGCAAAAAGCAAATGAATATTTAGTTTTGGGACGGATGGAGTATTAAATAACACTATCTAGAAATACTGTGGATCTAACTAAATTGATCCAACTAAATAGATCATTTTATCCTGATGGAGGGAATATAAGAACTATGTATTTATTTATTTATTTTTATTTCGGATGATCTAATATCAGTCATCTTATGTCATGTCATAAATAAATTATTTTCAGGAATGTGACAAGTAAGTTGCGATTTGTTTTGAAGAATTTTTTTTTTACTCAAGGTATAAGAAATTGTATAGGTAATATAGAAATAATAAATATGTGTGATATATTAATTTTTTCGAACTAAAATATTTAGTATTTTTTCGAAAAAATATATTTAGTATTTTTTCTAAAAGAACACATCATTTGTGTTTGTTTGGAGTTTGAATTTTGGGTTTGAGATTTGAATAATAAAAATTTTGAATTGAAATAATTGTATAATCTAGTATAAAAATATTTAGAAGGTATTTTGAATGTAAAATTAATTTATAGTATAATATAAAAAATAAAAAATAGATGTTAAATTTAATACTAGTATTTTATGAAAAAAAAAATAGTGAATATTAAAAACAGATAAAATTTTCCAAAAGAATGAGTATTTATTTATGGTGAATCACATAATTAACAATGTAGGAGTATTTTATAATTGTTTTTTTTAATAACGTAATAATGGACTATAACTACAAATTTTACTAGAGACGATTTTGAATTTATAACTTCACAATAATAAGTTTGCTATCCCTTATGAAATAATTAACTATATATATATTTTTTTTATAAAAAATAATAGTGCAATTTAAAAAAGAAAAAAAAAAGTTGAAAGCAAATGCACCCATAATATTTGAGTTTTCATTATTTTATTACTTAAATAAATATACTATATATATATTTTTTATCTTATTATTATGAATATATTATGTATATTGATATTTTTAATCACAATATTTAAAATATCTACCACAAGCATCTTTACTACTGAATTAATCAAATTTTCCTTATACATTATACTACAGATTCGTCGCATAAGAAGAGTATTTTTTGAATTGATTTTTTAATATTAATGATTATATTAATACATAGTACAATATCTATTAGTCTCTTATAATATAATATAATAATATTTATGAAATAAATTATACAAATATAAAAAATAAAAATATATTTATTAATTTCTTATAATATAAATAAAATATTATTTATGGAGTAAATTATGCAAACATATGTATTGTATGTATCAATCATACCCACAAACACCAATCATTAATATTGAATTAATAATAGTAATAATAATAATAAAAAGTAAATAACTTGACAAAGACAACAAAATAATTGATAGTTGAATTAATTACCTACCTCCCCTTTAACTAAAGGGTGTGTTTGTTTAGGAGGTTTGGATTTTGAGATGAGATTTGAATAGTAAAAATTTTGAATTTGAATAGTTGTATGATGTGATATAAATAGATGTTGACGTGATGTTTGGAATGTAAAATTGCTTTTTAGTATAATATAAAAAATAAAAAATAGGTATTTGATTTGATGTTTTCTTGAAAAAAAAATAAGATGAATAGTATAAATCAAATCCAATCCTCCAAACAAACACACCCTAGATAAATAACTTGCAGATCAATTATTTTAATAATATTTTAGAAAAAAATTACACAAGAGGCGAGCAAATCTCGCCGCGTCAAGAGGTGAAGTTTGCAAAAATATTCCAAAATCGTCTCCCATAACAACTTACATTATTTTTATAATTTTAATATTCCCTTTCGTCCCATCTAATATGTGTATTACTGTAAATGCTAGAATTTAAGTAAAGTATGATTAATAATTAATTAAGAGGAGTAAATATTTTAATTAAAATTAAAAAAATTATAAAATTTAAAATTTAAAATGCAGCATAATTATATTTTCAAAAATAGAAATGACTAGTGACGTGGGACGGAGAAAAATAGAAAATAGGAACAAATTATGTGAGACGGAGAGAGTATATATATTTCATCCATTCCAAATATATATATATATAATTTTTAACTATTCCTTAAATTTATACAAAGTCTAAATAATTTTATTATCATATTTCAACAAATAATATTTTCTCCGTCCAAAGACTATTTGGATTTTGTATTAGATTGATAAACAATAACATTTTATTAATTACTTAAAAGTGTTTTCTAAAAATTAATTTTATATATAATAGTATATTTGTAATTTAAATAGAAATTAAAAGTATTTTTATATTAATATATGATTATTTTTACTAAAATAAAAAAATATATTTTAAATGAGACCGATAAAAATAGTAAAAAGATATTTTGAATTAACATAAAAGAAAATAATAAATTTATTACTCCCCATGTCTTTTAATTAAATATTCATTCATTTTTTACACGGAATTTTATGTTTATTGGCATTATATTAAAATATATATAATAGGAATAAAATAAAGTAACTAAAATAACTTTATTAGTAATGTATGATATAAATGTAATGATATTTGTGTAATTTTATTGTAAATTGTAAAAATATTGTAATATTAACTAGATATTCTCCTATCCCCCAAAAAATAGTCTAATTTTGCCATTTTCATATGTTTCAAAATAATATATTCATTTTTATTTTTGGTAACTACTTTCCAACCTTTTTACGAAATTTTCCAATTTTTTTACAAAATTACATAGGGTAGGAATATTTTAGTCTTTTAGAAGCACTTTTACACCTTATTTGGGACCGGAGGGAGTATTACAATAATTAAAAAAAATAAACACTTTATTATGAGATAAATTAAAATAGAAAAACAAATAATATATTAAAAGACAGGTGAGTACTATTTTTTCTCCTAATTAATTATTGTTATAAATAATACTTCTTCCCTCCAACAAAAAAAAAAATATAGATATTTTTATTTTGGGTTGTCTAATTACAAAATAATTATTTTATTAAATTTCTAATTTTTTTCATAAATACTTTTACTTTACATTACATCCTTAATTTTACACTTAAAAAAAGGACAAAAATATCATGACACCATTTTTAACTATCAACTATAATTAAAATACTATTGTCTCCGTCCCTTGACAATCTATCCATTTTTTCATTTTGGTCCGTCTTGTTATAAAGTATTCATTTCATTATTTTAGTAACTGTACTATCTATCTAACATTACAAATAACTTTTCAATTTATAATATATTATCCAAATGTCATTATATTTATATCATAAAATACTAATGAGGTTAATTTAATCTTTTTATATTGGGTAAACTGTTTTTTAGTCGGACCTCCTTATCATTTTAGTCCTGTAATTGGAGTCTGTCGCAAACTAGTCTCATAAGTAAAAACGTTTCGTTGTTTTAATACCCTGGCGCCAGAGACGCCCACGTGGCTCGCCGGAAGCCATGTGTCCCGCAAAGTCAACCTGGTGGACAAATGGATTTTATTTATTTATTTTAAATTTTTTAATTTTTTTTTAATTTGACCAAATAAAAAAAATTAAAAAATACAAATAAAATTAAAACTCAATTTTAAAAAAAAAATAAAAAATTGAAAAAAGAAAATAATAAAATCCACGTGTCCGCAAGGTGTCGCTGACCTGGCGGTCACGTAGCCTCCGGCAAGCCACGCGGGCGTTTCCGACGCCGGAGGATTAAAACAGCGAAAATTTTTTACTTATGAGATTAGTTTGCGACAAATTTGACTTATGAAACTAAAATAATAAAGTACTATTATTTTTAAAAAAACTCCATATAAAAAAAAAATAAACAAATACATACATATATAACGGATGAACTATTATTTTTTTAAACTTCACATTAAAAATAAATATTAAATTTGTATCGAGTAGTAAAAATCATAAAAATTGATCAAACAAACACATCTACATCAACATCAGCGAAAATAGCATCAAAAGCGGCACATCAATAAATAAATTAATTAATTAATTAAAATAAAAAAGCTGCAGTGTCAAATTATATTTAGAAAGTAATTATTACAAAGAGGATGTCGACATTCTCCAGGCGAACAACTTCCAATTCACGGCAACGGCGACTTTTGTATCTCTCCCTCCTCTTCAAAGATGTCGACATCTTCTCCTTCTCTTCCCTTCTCTGTCCGCACATACACATAAACATATCCTCAAAACATATTCCCAATTATTCTCCATTACATTCCATGTCTGTATTCCTCGATCGGTCATGCCTAAATGAAGAACAAGTCTTCGTCAATCGTCATCCGTTTTGTCTGCTTCTTACAATCGCGATTAATGTTTCTCGTTTTTCCTGACTAGGAAGGAAGGAAGGAGGAATAAATAAAACAATTGTTATTGCCTCCTGCTGCTGCTGCTCATGTCCTTTATGGAGGTTTTGATTTATTTATTTTCCCCTTTTCTGTTGCTATCAAAATTATTTCTAGTGATTTTGTTCTACTCTCTGTGTCTGTCTCTGAACTCTTTTTTTTTTTTTTGTGATGGAAATTGATATGTGTGTATATGTGTTCTTGATTGAGGAATTCTTAATTAGGTTTTGACGAGTTTTTGTTACAGGAATTTTCGCCGCTGATTTGGTCTGGAGAATTTGGTGATAGAATTCGTGATTATTCAGGTGAGGTTTTTGCATTTGTGCTTTTATTTTGGGAGATTGTCTGAATTTCGAAAGGTTTATATGCTTGTCTGAAAACTACTCATCTTAAAGTCTTTTAGGTTTATACGCTTGTAATTTTGAAAAAAAATTTGAAAATTATTTTATTTTTTCACTGGTCATATTTATTATTTTGTACTAAAAGTAATTTTAAATTTTTTAATTCTATGTATAAATATTCTTATATCAATAAAAATATTTTTATAATTTTTTTTAATTATATTAGATTTTGATATAATAATTAATATTCGATGAACACACCTCTCATAGTCTTACAATAGTTTATAAATAAATACTCCTGTTATTTAAGCGCTCTGATTTTATCGCACTATTGATAGAGCGATAGTGTCGCTTGTGGAATTCCGGCGTTTGGAAGCTATATTGTAATAACAACTGAGGTTTATCTTTATTTTTTTATATGGTCCAATAAATTTCTGCATTTTTTATATCCATATTTTTTAAAATTTTAATACAATTATTTATCAACAATCAAATATTTTTTTATTTTATAAAATATCACATCAAATCAATTTTTCATACTCAATTTTTATTCCGTAAAAATTTTATATTTATAGGTTTTGTTCTTTCACTCATTTTTTTTCATATATATTTTTTTAAGAAAATTAATACACTATATACACTTATTATTTTTATATTCTCTATTTAATTTTCTATAACTGACATAAAAAAAAAAAAAAAAAAAATTTCCAACAATCTTACAAAATAAATACACTTTTAATCTTCTAAAACTTTTATTTAAAATGAAACTTTTTTTTTTCTTAAATTCGCAACTAACTTGATTTGATGTTTTATAAAAAAAATAATTTATTTTGATTGAAAATTATATCTTAAAAAATATTGAGAATTCAATCCAAAGACAACATCAAGTCTCGACAATTTTCTTGTTGTCGATTCCTACAATGGTTTCACTTGTGTACTGAACAATCTTTATTTCGCTAGAACTATAGCAAGTATTTGTCTTTTGTAGTAATTTACTCTATTCAAATGTAGCTTTCCTCTCCAGAATCTAAACCCTCAATAACATGTCTTGACATGAACGTCTCGTTACAAAATTTGTGTAATACTTGACATTTTCCGAGGTTCTAATACTCGAGCTCGACTCGTATTCGTTTGGTAATAAAAGGATCGTTTCTCGGGGGCGTCGCAAAATCAATGTCGAACGAAGCCTGTAGTTCCATCGACAGAGAGAACGAACGATGCCGCGACGACTCCGCCTCGCTCGTCCTCAAATTGATCGCAATCGCCGCGATCCTCGCCACGGGCGCGTCGGGAGTGACGATCCCTCTATTCGGCAAGAAACGCTGGTCCGGGACCAACCTATTCGCCGCGGCCCGAGCCTTTGCAGCGGGGGTCATCCTCGCCACCGGGTTTGTCCACATGTTGCCAGATGGCGCATCGGCATTGGCCAGCCCTTGTCTGCCGAAAGTTCCGTGGACCAAGTTTCCGTTTTCCGGATTCGTCGCGATGACGGCCGCTCTCGCCACATTACTCGCCGATTTTGTCGGGACACAATACTACGCGGGAAAACATGCGATAGTACAAGGGGAAGTTGTTAAGGTTGATTCATTTGACGGAGTGTCCGTATCGGGCATTGTCCCCGTAGAGAAGAGAGTGTGCGAGAAAAAAGTATTTGATGATGACGGCGATCTTGCCTTGCGTATTGTGGAAGAATCGGGAGGGCCGGAGGATTCGCGCGGCCATTGTCGTGGGAGTCGAAGCGTCGGGGGAGACGCAAGAAACGTCGTCGTATCCCAGGCATGTCCGTAATAAATACATACTCCCTTCAGCCTAGATACATTTATACATTTGGATTTTTTTAGTATATTAAGAAATATATTCTACTTCAAAGTAGTCAGAAAAAATAATCATACGCTAATACTAAAATACTCTTAATTTTTACTTAAATTACAAATATATTGTTACACGAAATGTCAAAAAAATTTTAACGCTTTCACTAACAAATAAAATACTACAAAATTTCAAAAAGGTCCCATTGAATTGGGACGAAGAGAGTAGTATTTCATTGGTTAGTGGAAGTATATAAGACAATTTTGATATTTCTGTCCTTTGTATTTTATTTAATATGTTTGTAATTGATGTAAAAGTTAAAGATATTTTGGTATCAATATATGATTATTTTTACGAAATGAATAATTTTTTAAAAGAACAGATAAAAACAATACTTTTACTTTTAATTGAGACGAACAAAGTATTAAATAGTCTTCTACCGTTTCGTAATTTTTAGCGGTTGTTTTACCTAAAAGTTTCAAAACATGCACGTAAAATACACGATTCTATATCTATTTACACACTCAATTTTCTCCAAAATTCGACAGGTTCTTGAACTCGGGATAGTTTCGCACTCGGTGATCATCGGGCTATCCCTCGGCGTGTCACAAAGCCCGTGCACGATTCGACCGCTCATCGGGGCGTTGTCCTTCCACCAATTCTTCGAGGGGTTCGCGCTCGGCGGGTGCATCTCGGAGGCCAAGTTCGGGACCCTCCGATCGACGGCGATGGCGTGCTTTTTCGCGGCGACGACCCCCCTGGGGATCGGCGTCGGGATAGGGATTTGCTCGTCGTACGACCCGAGCAGCCCCCGGGGGCTGATAATCGAGGGGGTGCTGGACTCAATATCGGCGGGGATTCTGGTGTACATGGCCCTCGTGGATCTGATTGCAGCCGAGTTCTTGAGCAAGAAGATGAGCTGCAACGTGAGGCTCCAGCTAGTGTCGTTTTTGGCTTTGTTCTTAGGAGCTGCATTGATGTCTTCTCTAGCAGCTTGGGCATGATTATACACTTCTTCTGTTCCATAACAAACTATTCATTTTTTTTTTTTCATTTTAGTCTGTCGTATAAAAAGTATTCATTTTTTTTTTTTTAGTAATTGTACTGTCTACCTAACATTATAAATACCCTTATAATTTACAATATATTACACAAATGTCATTATATTTATATAACACAATACTAATAAGATTATTTTAGTCATTTTTATTTTATTCTTACTACATTTCAATATAATACTAATATTTCTAGAACTTTATGCAAAATACAAATTGATACATAGTTATGGGACGAAGGGAGTACACGATACTCTATCTGTCATGTAAAATATACTAATGTAAAATTATACCAATTTGATCGCCATGAATTTTATGAAGAATAGAAAAAAACAATTTATGGTAAAGAAAATTCAAAATAAATTTGAATAATAACAAAAATAAATAAATAAAAATAAGTTTTGATGGCAAATGATATGTATATTAGGCTCAAGGGTGTATTCTTTTTAATTTTCTTTTTTATGTGATCTTTTTATTTATTTATTTAATTACTAATCTATCTGTTTCAGTCAAGAGTATTCATTTTGCTACTTTTGTATATCAAAGTCAAAGATATTCGACTATTTAAATAACTTTCGACTCAACTTTTTATTTAAAAATTTCCTTTATCCAAAATTCACTAAAAACAGGTTTTAAGGGAAAAAAAATACTCCTATACTACACAAATTCATTGGCTCCGTTCACTCAGCGTCTTTGAATGAATTAATTTTTGGTGTGTGGTACGAGAAATTGTGTTAAAAATATACTCCATTCGTCCCAAACACCCTGTAATATTTTTTTTTGTTTGTCCCAAACTCACTGCAATATTTTCAAATTTAGAAATAATTAATACTCCCTCCGTCCCCAATCTATCTATCCATTTGCTTTTTGCACGGAGTTTTAGAAATATTAGTATTATAGTGGGATAAAATATAAATAAAGGTAAAATGACTAAATTAACCATATTAGTATTGTATGATATAAATGTAATGACATTTGTGTAATATATTGTAAATTAGAAGGGTATTTGTAACGTTAGGTACACAATACAATTACTAAAAAAGGAAACGGATACTTTGTTATGGGACGGACCAAAATGAAAAAATGGATAGATTGTTAAGGGACGGATGAAGTAATATTTTTATACATATATTAATATACACTTCACTTTATCCCATCCCATCACTCAAATAAAAAAAACAAATAATTATTTATCTCTCCAATCACATCACTTAATATTCAAATTATCTCAAATTACCATACTTAATACTCTCCACCTAAATTCTCGTACCAAACACAAATGTTGCACGGTGTTTGGGACGGAGGGAGTAAAATATATCCCCTTTTTCCAATGATAATTTTCTCATTTGACTTTTGCACACGGATTAAGAAAAAATATTATTTTATAGATATATAGTATTAAAAGTAATATAATGTCTATTTTACCTTTAAAGAGTAATGTTAAAAGTAAAAAGTAAGGGTTTCTGGTATTTAGTTGATAGTTAATTTTTTCAAAAAAAAAATGAGAAGTTTTGATTTGGACATACTAAAATAGAAAATGAAATGTTTAGTAGTGGACGGAGGGAGTATTATTTTAAGGTTAATATTTGACTTTTGTTATGAGTATTTGATTTTTTATTTTTTACTTATTGACTTTGTAAAAGTATTCTATACTCCTCGTCTATTTTCTCTAATGTTCTAATTGATATTTAAACGATTATTTTTTTTTTTTTGTTATAAAATGATAAATTTGTTCTTTATTTTGTATATAGAAAATAAAATGATAAAAAATAAAAATAAAAGGGTAAATTCTGTATATAAAAAATATAAAAAAATAATAATTATTAGACATTCAAAATAAAAAAATAAGATGTTAATTTATAGACGGATGAAATATTATTTATTATTATTTTTAAGGAATCACAATTTAAAAATAATATTGAAGAACACATTCATTATTTTTATATTATTTATATAAATTTTTATATTATAATAATAATAATAAATATGTCAAACCAAAACACAAAACAAACACACCGGTAACGCATGCATGTCGGCAGAATTTTGGATTGCATGCGTATAATGTGTATCTTATATCTTCGGGATAAAAATAGCAAGCACAACTGCGTGCCAGAAATGCAGGGCCAGGACCACCAGTCCACAAATTATTTTACTATGCTCAAAGCCTCAAAATATATTTGGGTTTGTATTATAAAAGTAAATATATGTCCCAGTTTATTCACTTTATGCATTTTGTAGTAGTGTTTTAAGCTAAAGTATTTTGTATTTAATGGATAAATTATATTGATAATATAAAAATATTAATATTTTTACGGTGAATATTGATTTTTTTTATTTAATATATATTTATATTATATCAAATAATTATTCAAAGATTCAAATTTAAAAAATAAAAAACCACAAACAAACACACCCTTAATACTCTTCCCTCCGCCAAATATATGGATATTTCATTATAAAACATATGAATATTTCATTTTATTAAATACTAGTATTTTTTATTATTTTATAATTTTAATTTTAAAATTTCTATCTAAACTGAATTTAAAAAGATCACAACAAAATATTTCCAAATTTATATTACTATAAAATAAGGTGAACTGCAACGTTCAGCATGTTGAAGATTACTGTGTATATATATAGAGAGAGAGAGAGAGGATTTGTATGATTGTTGGGGGCGCACGCGCTATACTCTATTGACCTTTCCGAGTCCGTGTCACTGTCTCAAGGCACTAGTACTACCATTCATGCTTGTGGTACAACCTGTCTACAGCCACGACCCAACGCAATCCCCACCCACCCGCGCCGATTCACCCTCCTCTGTGCCGCGCCGGGGCCGGCCGGACGAGCGCCGCCGGCGCGCAGGCTCCAAATGAACGGATCACCCGCCATTGCCGCTTTTCTCATTGTAGGACTGCTCGCCATTGCGTCGGCGCCGTTCGCCGTATCGGAGGAGGCGAAGCTTGTGGAGGATGGAGATGTTTTGGCGGCGAATGCCACGGGGGTGGAAGCTGGGGGGAATGGGACTAGGCCGAAGGACACGTTTGCTGATATGATCGATCGCGCGTTGGAGAAGGAGTTCACCGAAAATGACGATCAGAGTGAAGGTTCGTGCAGATCTGAACTTCTCTCTTGTTTTTTCCCACTTTGCCGGAGTTGTGTTAGCATCTTCAGTGCTTCGATGAATTACTGGATAATTTCTGTGAGACTAATTAATAGCCATTTCCTTTTTATATTTGTGGATTTCTAGATTTTGATTTGGAATCTTGGAGATTTTCGTGATCGTATGCTATTGGAACTGATTTTCCAGCTAACTGTTTCAATTTCAATGATGATTGGTTATTGGAGGGGATCTAGCATGTAGATTTGTGTACCGAAAGCTAACCTCTCTAGGTTTTTATTTTCTCTTTGTTGATTATTAGCGTAGCATTTATTGCTTATAAGTTAGTTTAGATTAGGGATCAGGTTGACTGTTTCCTTTTGAAGTTCTATATATTTAATTAAGGTAGAATAATAGCTGATCATGGCTAACTGTACTGGCAGCTAATGATGCTGGTAGCTTCAACAACAGTGTGGCTGGGCAGCAGGTTTGATTTTACTTGTATTTTCTCAGTTTTAGTATGCCCTGTTTAACATGTTTATGATGCTCTTACAATTTACCTGATATAGTTTGTCTTTGTGAAATTTGTGGGCATTTAACAATGATTACAAACCATTTATTGTATTTTTCTTTTGAAATATAGATTATTTGAGTGGATTCCTTTCTTTTAAAAAAAGAAAAATTGAATCAAAATTGAAGGTTATGTCCTTGGTTTTTCAAAGCGGATGGATCTGGAATAAATTGAGAGAAACTCTTTGCATGGGTGTATATATATATATATATATGTATGTATATTGATATCCGGGGAAAGGTGTTTTTTGTGTGAAACTGTGAATAGTATTTGAAATTTCTGATATAATATAGTGGGGTTATTGCCAAAAGAATATGTATGTATCTATGATGTATTTTTCATTCTGAATTCAAATGAAAAAAATGATTGAATACTAATTGAATGTTATTTATGTGCTCAATGGAACGTAACCATTTTTATTTTTTTTCTTTTTTAATTCAATATTTAAGAACTTATGTCTGTCTGGGTGTGGTTTGATGCTGAATATGTTTGGAAACTGTAACAAAATATAATACGTGTTTTGGTGAGATTCCATAGTTTTTCTCAAGATATTATTGATGATCAGGCTGTGCTGGAAACAGTAGCCAGAGTAAAGTCAAAGAAAAATGAAACTAAGGAGGAAAAGTAAGTTTTTTGCAGTTCGTATGCATGATAGAAATTCTTTTTCACGGAGATCTTTACTTGGCTATGTATTTGGTTCACATTTGCAAATACAGATTACTTTGTTTTTGTTGTTATTGTAGATCCTTTAAACTTCATCAAGTGTTCAATCTGGATAATGACAATGGAGCTGAAGAGACTCCTACATTGATTGATCGAAAGGTCTGACCTTTTTCTGCTTATTTTGTTTTGGTTTTGTATGAGGTGGAAAGCAGCAGATGATTCAAAGTTATGCAATATGCATTATTCTACCATTATGAATAACAGTTTTTTATCACTTTCAGGACAATGTGTTTATCATATCAAATTTTAAATCAAAATACCCAGTGCTGCAGTTAGACTTGAGGTGCACTTTTCAATCTTATCTGCTCTATTCTGTCTTTTTTCTTCGTTCCCCCCCCCCCCCCCCCCCCCCCCCCCCTCCCTCTATTTTCTGGACTAGCTAATATGTGAGTTTTCAGGCTCATATCAGATCTGGTGGTTGTGATTGTTTCTGCTACATGTGGTGGAATTGCATTTGCTTGTGCTGGACAACCGGTATGATACCTGAGATAGGCGATAAGTTCTCATTACCCATATTCTGACTCTCTTCATCTCTTTAATTTTCTAATTCTCTAATGTACCTGACAGGTTATTACTGGATACTTACTAGCAGGATCAATTGTTGGACCCGGAGGTTTCAATGTTATCAGTGAGATGGTGCAAGTATGTAGCACACGACATTAGTTCTTGGTATTGTGTATCATTGTGTTCCATTTAATTTAAATGCTGTGGACTCTTTTTTATGAAAGCCTCTAATGGTTCAAAGGCCACTCCTATTATTTTTAAACTTTAATGGATGATGCTAACGTATTATTTATTTAGACTGTAGAATAGCAATAGAAGGCACGTAGTAGGAGTTTTAACCTAAATTAATTTCCAAAATAAATATGATTTGGCAAGCTTGGCCAATATTAATGAATTAAGCAGTTGTAAAATGATCTGGTTATCATACATTTGTTTAGACTAACTTGTTTTTTAAGAATACAAAATGATTTTGTTTTGATGTTTAGCATATGCATGCATGTAGAACAAGAAGATTTCTGTTTACGATGCCATCTAAATAACCTGCATATTTATTCACCTTATGTAACTGCTGCGTGCAGGTCGAAACAGTAGCTCAGTTTGGTGTAATTTTCCTTCTTTTTGCTTTGGGCCTGGAGTTCTCCACAACAAAGGTTTGGTGGTGTTGTATACTTATACTGTTATGTGTTGATTTTCTCTTTGTATAAAAGCTTTTTTTTTTCCTTACAAGATGTATAATTTGTATAGAAAAGATCATAGAATATGTAGGTTTACATGCCGGATTTCTATTCCGCATCAGTTGTACGTACATGTAACTCTACATTTGAGCAACATTCATAATCTTCTCATCAATGTATCCTTCATATTTTGCATATTGCAGCTTCGAGTTGTGCGTGCAGTTGCTGTTCTTGGGGGTTTGCTTCAAATTCTCCTTTTCATGTGCCTATGTGGAATTATAGCTTCGGTGAGTTCATAATTTTAGCCTGAGAAAATTGATTAATTGTTAAACTTTGTGGGGAACATGTGAAAATGCTACAAGTTTGAGTATTGCAAACTTTCTTTATTTTAATTGGTAGTTTGAGCCTTTTCGATTTTCACGCCTTTACAGTGGCTTGGTGATACTACTAGTGGCGTTTCCATGTCTAATATCTTCAGCGTGAAGGATTTGTCCTTACTACGTATGCTGAAACTAAAATGTATAGCTTGCTTTGGTAATTGCAGCTGTGTGGCGGTAGATCTTCTGAGGGGGTTTTTGTTGGCGCTTTCCTTTCAATGTCATCTACAGCAGTGGTAAGATTGCAACTTGTTCATATGTTTGGACATTGTTCCTATTAATTTTTCCCTTTAACATCTTCCCTCAACATTATTGCAGGTTTACAAGTTTTTGATGGAGAAAAACAGTACGAATGCTCTGCATGGTCAAGTTACCATTGGCACACTGATTTTACAGGTATCATTTTCTTGATTGATGACCCCCATTTCACTCTGACACATATGTAATCATAGTGATTCAACTGATAACATTTCTTTAAAGCTTCAATAACTCACCTATATGTTGCATATTTATTTTATTATTCCAATCTTAATCAGGCACTCAACTTATATTTTATTTTTTGTACCATGGAAGCCAGAACTTTTTATTCAGCGGGCATGATTTCAGTTTCAGTTTTATTATAATAAGCATATTCTTGATTTGAGCTTTGATGCTTCTTGTAAAATGTCATAAAACCTATATTCAGGACTGTGCTGTGGGATTATTATTCGCATTGCTTCCTGTATTGGGTGGAACATCTGGTGTGATGCAGGGTGTGGTGTCCATGACCAAATCGTATGTTCAATCTTTTTCCTTCATTTCCCTTAACAAACCTAAACTGTTCCTGCCTTTTGATAATAGATATAGTAAATATATAGATTGTAATGTATAAAAATTGACTCTGTTCATTCAATCAAACACAAATATATGTATATTTGCATTTTTTTGTGTGTGCGGATAAGTATGTGCTACTATATGTTACTCCCTCCGGCCCACTTAATTTGTCTTTTTTTTTTTGAAAATACAATTATACACTTTAATCACATTTTGAAATTCATAATTTATAATTTTTTTTATTTTAGTTAAACTATTTAGTCATCTTAATCTAAATTTATTTTTATTAAATCATAATTATTTTTACTAATACACTTCTTAATTACTCGCTAATTACACAATACCTAAAATTCCGTGTCTAATCTAAATGAGTCAAATTAGCCGGACGGAGGGAGTACTTTATTTTAATATAGTTCAATTATTTTCATGAAAATTAGAAATTATGCTTAATCAAGTTGAGTGAGGTCGAGCCGAGACTGTTTGGTAAATCTATTTTCTCTTACAATTGTGAGAGAGAATCCTCAGGCATTATTGACTAAGTCAATAATTATATGATATGGATAGAAATTACAAATGTATAATGAACTTGTCCAGACTGGCAATCATTTTTGTAAGTTGTTCCGAAAGGCACAGTTAATTGGTATTAATTTTCTATCTGATACTCAGCTATCGTGATGGAATATATTTCAATGTAATTGTCCTGGTAGATATGGGTGGATACTATGAAAGTGGTGTCATGAATGCTCAGTAGATTTAGAGAAAGGTTGATGCCATCCTATTCAGTGATGTTCTAGGTATAGGACTTTGACAGGGTGGTTGATCATAGTGGAGATCTATTTATTTTAGGCATGGTTCTCGGTGAATGAAATTAATTTACTGATGCCTCTTCATTCTTTTTATTTTTTTACAAATTTTTGTTGTCTATATTTACTGCTTTGTAGGAGAAATTGATAACATTATATTCCGATCTATCATAGCATTGATATTTGAATCTGGTAAATCCTATACTGATTATTCTATCAGCCAGGTTGGTGGTGTTGATTGCTTTCTTGACAGCTTTGGCAATATTATCACGGACCTGTCTACCATGGCTCCTTAAACTTATGATAAGTTTATCATCGCAGGTACAAAAACAAGAACACATTTTGGATTTTTTTTTCTTTTTCCTTTTATGGGGGGGGGGGGGAGGGGTGGCTTGGGTTTTACTGTTGTTACACGGTCTGCAACATTTTTCGGATTTCACCAAACTGCTACAATCAGTCAAATTTAACAATGTATGTTGTTTCTTTTTGCAGACTAATGAGCTCTATCAATTGGCATCAGTTGCATTTTGTCTACTTGTAGCTTGGGTTTGTTTCCTTCCCCTTTCGAAATTATTTTTCATCTTTAGTTTCATGAATCAATATATGCTATGTTTATCGTTTTTCATGGTTGAGTCGAATTTAGCTTCTGATTCCAGTTTGTTGTCAATTGTGCACTCCACTGCCGTCATGATACAGACATTCATTTTTCTGTATTACTCCTGTTCATTTCAGAGGGCCTTTAACTAACTGAAGCAACATCCATATTTCTGTTCCGTTTTCAGTGTAGTGATAAGCTTGGTCTTAGCTTAGAGTTGGGTTCGTTTGCTGCTGGAGTGATGATAGCAACAACTGACCTTGCTCAGCATACCCTTGAACAAGTATGACTACCTGTAACTATTTATTGAAGTTTTTGTGGGTAATATATCATATGAATGTACTTACATCTTCAAATGCCCGAGCAAGCGTGAATAGTAAAAAGGAAATTATTCATATGTTCTACTGCTGTAATATTTTCATTGCCCACATATTTACTATAACTATATTTGATTCTAGACTTATTATATATGCAGGTTGAACCTATTCGTAATATGTTCGCTGCCCTTTTCTTGGCCAGCATAGGAATGCTAATCCATGTTCACTTTCTATGGAATCACGTCGACATCCTGGTTGCATCAGTTATCTTAGTGGTTACTGTTAAGACTTTGGTAATTTCTGCCGTTGTCAAGGCTTTTGGCTACAACAACAAAACTTCACTTCTTGTAAGACTTTATCTTGTTTACATGGGATATTTAGCCGTTGTCTGTACCTTTGGCTATTAACATGCGGCTGGTCGTTAACCACCCCATACAGGTAGGGATGTCGTTAGCACAAATTGGGGAATTTGCTTTTGTACTGCTCAGCCGTGCTTCAAATCTCCATCTTGTTGAGGTACATGCTCTTCTCTAATGGAACTTAACAAACAACATTTAATTTTTCGGTTTCATGTCGTGGATTGGAGAGAGCGCCTCTGCTATCTCTGCAGTGATTGATGCAATTATACGACGAGTTGTAACCCAATAAAATTCTAAATTAGAACCGTATGATGATTCGTGATAGTTTCTAATCTTTCTTATATTTTGCTCGATTAGGGGAAAGTGTATCTGCTGCTGCTTGGAACAACTGCTCTCAGTCTGGTGAATAATAATTATCTTTATCTTGCTGTTATTTCTCATTACAAACTTGATGCCGTAATTACTTGCTATTATATACAGATGGCCTGTCGTGATTTACATCACATATATTTACATCTCCAGTTCATATCTAGTCAATAGTCTCTCTCATAATTGTTTAGTACTCGGCATGCAATATCTGGTTTCTTATTGACATCCAATAATTATGGACAGAGGAAAGTAAATTGCTAAAAATCGTGCTGTTAGTTACATGGCTTGGATTGCTCGTATCTAATGAATCCCTAACTGGCTGCTGATTTACATTTTACCTTCCGTATTACGGGAGACCTTAAGCATATGATTTACCTTTACTAAGGGCAAAAGAGATCATAATTCAGCTCTAGTTAGTATACTTTCTGCCAAAAATAAAATTCGGAATGCCCGTGGCTGGGGAATAATATTCGTACATAACTTGTTAATGATATTTTATTTTTTTCTTTTAGACGCGTCTGTTTTTTTAAATTTAATATGATGGCACATGCTGATATCTTGTTTTAGCTGAGATGTAAACAAATTAGTAAAAATACTTGTGCAGGTAACTACTCCATTGCTTTTTAAGTTAATACCAGCAGTTGTGCACCTTGGCGTGTTGTTACGATGGTTCACTCCAGACGCACCAGTCGAGGTATAATTTATATACAACAATCATTTCTAAACATTCATAGACACAGAAGAACAATTCTTTTCAGCAGTTTATTTATTCTCTTCTTTAATCTAAAGCACATTTGCATTATATGCGGACTTTATCCTGATATCGATCTTTTATGAGTTTACTGACTCCCTCCATATTCTAAAATCGGATTTTTACATACATACAGCTTGGATTCAAAGGCGAAATTCTGCGCACTGATAGTGCTAAGCAGAGGATTGCTTTAATCTCCAAGGATCTCTTGATACACGAAGGATGATTTTCCTATCTACAGTCCTTTTAGACCATCCTACCTGCACACATGATCGCTTATATATCTCTTAACTAAAGAGTGAAAAAGAAAAAAAAGAATGATCGAATGGATTGATACAGACTTGCTGTGGAGTAATCTAACTGCTAGAAGGTACTAACAGTTGATGTCGAGGTAATGCCACTAACTTTCTGTTAATTTTGTTTTGTGTTTTGTGTTTGGTGTAAAGTAGTGTTCGGCGTAAGCTCTGTATTCCAGCTCGGTATGCTATTCGTTTCTTTTCCCACGGCTTTTGTTGTTCTTCTACGCCCGTGTTTTTGTTTTCTTTTTTTTTTTTTTTTTTTCTTTTTCCGGTATTTTTCAGATAAAGAGCTTTCTATATGTATTGTGTTCTTCATTGGAAATTTGTACAGTTGAAGCCATTGTTGTTTCGTCATATTTCCAGGTACCAACCATTACATACACTTGTTTATATATATATATATATATATGTTGCTTTGGTGATTTTGAAATTAGACATTTTGATGGTGCATTTGAAGGCTATGTTGTGTAAATTGTTAAAATTTAGGGCTAAATTTGTTGGACTGAAAAGAGTGATAATAGGGTAATATGTACACGTCCACAAATTATTGACAACAATTCATAAATATATATTATATTGGGATGAAGTAGGAATAAAGTAGAAATGACTAAAATAATTTTATTAGTATGGTGTAACATAAATGTAATGATATTTGTGTAATATATTGTAAATTGTAAGGATATTTGTAATGTTAGGTAGATAATAAGTTATTAAAAAAATAGATATTTTGTTATGGGATTGACTAAAATGAAAAAATGAATACTTTGTTATAGAACGGAAGGAGTAATATAAATGTAACAGGATAGGATTATAGTTCAATGCTGATTTAATAGATTATATAGTTATGAGATTAATTTATATCAAGTTTATTTTGCTAGATTAAATATAGGATAGTATAGACTTCTAAGTACAAATCTCATCTATCTAGTTGAGATTTATTGTACTATTATGGGTAATATTGAGTTTTCGTGTTTAGATATTTAAATATTAATTATTATATCAAAATAAATATACGATGAGTTGAATTATATATACTATTTCCATCCCAATGTCTCATATATTTTTATTTTTTTTGCGTATTAATTTTTTAATATTAATTATTATATCAAAATTTAGTAAAAATTAAAAAAAAATATTGCAAAAATATTTCAAATGGTGTCTTATAATACAAATATAAAAATATTTTTAATATTAAGTACTATGTAAAATATAAATGTAAAAATCTAAATACAAGTACAAAGAGGGTGTTTATTCAACAAATTTTTTGATATTTTTTTATCAATATTATTAAATAATACAATATATATAATATATATATATTCTATTTACATATTAAAAAATATTTAAATATTTAAATAATATTATTAATATATGTTTTCATAGTAATATAAAAACATCTACACAAAAAATGTAAAGCCCAAATATACATGCAAAAAAGAAAGAATCTTATGGATTCAAATTTTTGACGTTTCAGTTCTTGTCTGTCATATATAATTTATCCAATATGACTTATTTTATCGTGCTTAATTTGTAGTTTATTAGGTTCGTCTATAAATTTACTAGAGCATATTAGAAAAATTACAGGTACGAATTTCCATATCATAAAAATAAATAAATAAAATCTTCTGAATGTGAGATTATAGTTCAAAACTCTTGCCAGTTACATTGTTGTCTAGTATTATTATTATTATTATTTTCTACCGTAATTTGCATACTATTATATTTGGTCATAAATTTATCCAATAAGTACTCAAAAAATAGCATTTAAAAATTGCAAATAAAATCTAAATAATTATATTATTAATTTTTATAATTTTATAGTTTTAAAAAATATATTTTATATCTATTTAGAAAAAAAGAAAAAAAAAATCAATATCTTATTAAAAGTGAAATGATATCAAGCGAGGTAGTCACATGATATCTGCGCCAACTCTTTTCAACCATTTTCCTTCCACTTCTTTTTCCATTCAATTTTAATCATTATTTTTTACCATTCATATCTAATTATTTATTATTTTGTCCGTCACATAACAAATTATTCATTTTTTTATTTTAATTCGTCCCATAATAAACTATCAATTTTCTTTTTTAGTAACTATACTATCTACCTAATATTACAAATACCCTTACAATGTACAATATATTACACAAATGTCATTACTTTTATATTACACAATACTAATAAGGTAATTTTAGTCCTTTTTATTTTATTCCTACTATATTTTGATATAATATTAATATTTCTAAAACTACGTACAAAAAGCAAATGGATACTTAGTTATGGGACAGATGGAGTATTATTTTTTATGAAAATTCATATCAGTCCTTAGGAAATTTTAATTGAATCTAATAGCTTTCAAATATATGATAGATAAGATCCGAAGGTATTGATATTTTAAACTTATGACTTTATTGTCATATGTCCACCTCACACTTATCATACTATTTTTTTACGAAACAAAAAAATTGACTCTCTCTGTACGTATGTAAAGGTAACATTTATCTTTTACGTAATTGTATTTAACGTTAAAAATATCATTAATTTTGTATAATTTTTTGTATAAATGTTCTTTTATTATCAGTATTATAAGACATTAATAAAAAATAACTTTGCAGTATTTTTTAAAAATTTATATTATATTTTGATATAATAATTAAAATGTAAAGATGAATAAGTTGATTTTATAAAATTCATTATCTAAAATAGTCAATTTAACAATGCTTAAAATATTAGGATAATTGAATAATTTTATTTATTTTTATATAAACGATTTTGTGAATTGATTTTGTCTAGTAAATTTTTTTTGTAGATTTATTTGGAGATAGATATTAGAAAATAATGATATTTAATATTAAAATGAGATAAATTAAAATTAAAATTAGAATATTATATGAAATTTATTAAATGATTAATAAAATAATAGTTGGATAAGTAGAAAAGAAATAGTAGCAAATTTGTTATTATTGGTTAACTAAAGATAATAAAATTATCGAGATAAAATTATTTATCATAAATAAATTGTATATAAATTTAGTATATAATAAAAAATAAATAGTTATAATATAATTTTGGGGATGAAGAAAATATTTTTTATTTAAATTTTAATTTAAATAATATTTTTATGTAATATTTTATAAGAATAAACATAAATGTTGATAAAAAAAAATCATATGAAATAAATAATAAAATTTTAATTTTGAAACCATAACTAAATAAAATTTCTTGTAAGATATTTACACATGTGATTATAAAAGCAGCAACAAAAAAGTGTCTTTGGTCATTGCAAGTTGTACGGTTGTGCTTGATTTTGGTCTCAATTTGAGATTTTGATTTGAAATTTAAATTAAATAGAATTTTAATATGATATTTATATAAAAAAAATTATTCGTCCGTCTCAACATAACAGTCTTGTTTACTATTTTTATCCGTTTTAAAACAATAGTTTTATTTCCATAAATAACTATATCACCATAACACTATCCCTACTTTTTCATTATTATTATTACACAATCGATATTACTTCTTACACTAATATAGTCACAGAGGCAAAAAAAATATTTACTTTTATTTTTTACTAATTACTAATATAATGTCAATATTCTTTAAATTCTGTAACTAATACAATAAGACTATACTTTTGAGACGGAAGAAGTATTACAATTCTATTAAAAATTATGTATGTTGAATAGTGTAAAATTGATTTTAAAAGAAAATAAAATAAAACAAAAACAAATCCTAACGTTTATTCAATTTTGGTTTTCATAACGGTCACAATCATTTCACATGTAAAATATATATTTTACATATATATATATATATATTCACAAATGTTATTGATATTTAATCTAAAATTCAAATACTCCTTTTCTTCCGTCCCGTGTAATATGGGTGTGTTATTGTAGACACGAGAATTTAGGTAAAGTATAATTAGTAAGTAATTAAGAAGTGTATCAGTAAAAATAATTATCATTTAGTAAAAATAATTATAGATTAAGATTAAGATAAGTAAATAGTTTAATTAAAATTAAAAAATTTATAAAATTTAAAATTTAAAATTTAAAATGCAATTAAAGTGCATAATTATATTTCCAAAAATAGAATTGACAAGTTATGTGGGACAGAAGAAAATAAAAAATAGGAACAAATTATGTGGGACGGAAGGAGTAAAATATTATTTCAAACTTAAACTAAACACACATTTTCATTATATACAAACATCGTAGTTTTGACGCCCTTTTTACACAATACATTTTTACTTGACACTATTTATTTTAAAAAAAAACATCACAGTAAATACATTTTTCTCTCACAAAACATCAAATCAAATACTACAATTTTTTACTTTTTCTAAACTTTCAAATTTCCAAAAACCTACAAAAATCATGTCTAAACAATTGGTTTATGCACTATTTTTATTTTATTCTTATGTAGTAATTTTAACAGTTTTTAATAATAATAAAATAGTACTACCCCCGTCCCATAAAGCTGATATAATTTTTATATTTGTATAATTTGCTTCACAAATGTTATTATATTTGTATTATAAGAGACTAATAGAGGTATTTTTGTCATTTTCTTTTAATTTGTACTCCGTATTGATATAATAATTAATATTCAAAGATGAACATGCAAAAAGCAAAAAGCCCATGGTACTTTTCTTATGAGACGAATGTAGTATTAATTTTTTTGTAATATATAATAAATACTCCATCCGTCCCACATACCATGTCCACGTTGCCATTTCTGTCCGTCACACATACCATGTCACTTTCCTTTTTTGGAAAATAATTACACACTTTAATCTTATTTTAAACTTTTTAAATTTTTTTTAAAATTTTAATTAAACTAATTAGTTATCTTAATCTTAATTTATAAGTATTTATATCATAGGATAATTATTTTTACCAATATATTTTTAATTATCTACTATTTACCCTCCTTCTAAAATACCGTATTTATAGTATAACAGATATGTGAGACAGAAGTAGTATTATTTAAATAATAATAAAAAAACCATGTCCATAAGCGGTTTTCTATTTTTATAGTAAAAAAATAAAAAATAATATATTTAATTTGTTTACTCAGTTTTTTGTGTGGCATGGGAGAGCATATTGATAATATAAAAAATATTACTCTCTCCGTCCAATTGAGTACTTATTTGAACGGACACAAATTTTAAAGAAAATAAATAAAAATAATATTTTTATTTTTTGATAAAAAAATAAAATAAAGTAATACTTTTTTATTAAAAATAAAAAACGATAATAAATTTATATGACAAGCTAAAAAAATAAATTTAAATGATAAATAAAATAATATTTTATATTGAATATTTAATTTTTGATAAGTTGATATATATATATTATATTAATATATATATATTTATATATTTTTAATAATATTTATAAAATATTGTTCATTCTAAAATACTAAATCAACATAGTGATAGTTTTTTTACTTATATAAAAAAAAATGATATTCCTTTCTTTAATAATTAAAAACATAAACATAAATTTTGGATTAAAAAAATAATAAAATTAAAACAGAAATAATTTGATATTTTACGATAAAAACAAACTGTAAAAATTCTTAGAAAATCTCAAAACAAATACGGCCAAAAGAATCTCTTACTCAAGTACTAATGTCTCCGTCCCAATACACAATATTATTTTTGTCTGTTATAAAACAATATTTTTATTTTTTTTTATTATTATTACGTAATTGTCACAAATTTTTTATATTAATATATTCATAAAGATAAAAATATTTTTTACTCGTACTTTTTATACGCTATTAATATAATATTAATATTTTTTTAAATTCTATATCAAACACAATTTAAACTATAATTTTGAGACGGATGAAGTATAAAATAAAAAATAAAATAGGCGTACGATTGTGGACCACCGAATCCCAATGTAAAGTTGTTGTAGTAATTTTTAAGGTGTAGGGCTAATTATGGCTGTTAAGCAACTTGCAAAATTAATTAATTAATTATTATTATTATTATTTATTACTCCATCTTTACACATAATTTATTTTTATTTTTTATTTTCGTTCGTCTCATATAATTTGTCATTTTTTTTTTGGAAAATTAATTATACACTTTAATCATATTTTAAAATTTAAAATTTAAAATTTTTTAAATCTTAATTAAATTATTTAATTATGTTAATTTTAATCTATAATTATTTTTATTAAATAATAATTATTTTTACTAATATATTTCTTAATTATTTACCTAAATTTCTGTGTCTACATTAATACACCCATATTAGATGGGACGGTGGGACTATTATTATATTGTGTATTACCCAATATGGAAACACAGAAAATGCCCAAAGCTAATAACCCACACGACCTTAGCTTTGTCCTTTTCTCACATTTCCATGCCCCTAAAATTTGTTTCTTTTTCACTAACCTTAAATTCCAACTTTGCCCTCACCGTATTCCATTCACCTCTCAATTCCCAAAGGACAAATCCGTCATTTTATACAAACCCTAAAAAACCCCACTGCTCGTCGCAAACTCCTATAATTTGATTGTCTTCCTCGTCCTTTCCACTCTCTCTCTCTCTCTCTACAAAGTCAAAATTTTCCATAAAAATTTTCATTTTCTGTATATATATCAGAAGATCGATTTTGATCATTGTTCTAATTGAAAATAAAAATTGAATCTTTGAGTATATATACATATTTGTTGCATAAAAACAAAAATGGCGGAGAAGTCGCCGGAAATGGTGATACCGCAGGGAGCCATGTCGCTGGAGGAGTACGCGCAGGTGGAGCACGTGATCCGCACGTACCATACTTTCCCGCCATTGCCGAGGACGTGCACCTCACTCATCACGCAGCGGATCGACGCGCCGGCGGACGACGTCTGGCCCATCGTCCGGCGGTTCGACAATCCCCAGCGGTACAAACACTTTATAAAAAGCTGCCGCCTGCTCGACGGCGGCGACGGCGGTGGCGACGCCGTCGGAGTCGGCAGCGTTAGGGAGGTCACGGTGGTTTCCGGCCTCCCCGCCTCCACCTCCACCGAGCGGCTGGAGATTCTCGACGACGACCACCATGTCCTCAGCTTCCGAGTCGTCGGCGGCGAGCACCGGCTCAATAATTACCGGTCGGTAACCTCCGTCAACGAATTTTCCGGCGACGGCGGCGGGAAGGTTTACACTGTTGTGATTGAATCGTACATCGTCGATATACCGGAGGGGAACACCGGCGAGGACACGAAGATGTTCACCGACACAGTGGTGAAGCTGAATCTGCAGAAGCTGGCGGTGGTGGCGACGGCGGCGTTGCACGGCCGCCATGAATCGTGATCGATCGGGAGATTTGGTTGATTTCGGAGACGATGGTTGAATCCGGCGGCCGGCGGCGAACGCAGGCCGGAAGTGGGAGGTGTGAGCACGGCGGCGATGGCGGTGGAAGAAAGTACTGCGGCGGCGGCGCCGGTCTTTTGCTGTTTTTTATTTTTATTATTATTATTATTTTTAAAAATTTTAGGGTTTGCTTGTTCGCTGGAGTTGATTTATATAATATTGTGAATTGGTCAGAAATAGAATAAGGAAGTGCGCATTAGTGACAATGTTGCTCGTCGTCACCACAGATTCGTTGACATAATTATATAGTTATATAATAATATTAATATAATAATAATAATATTATAATCAGACGACATCACTATTTTGCCACCGGCCCACTGTTATCGCCGCCGCCGCCGTCGCCGCCGACAAAGAAGAAGGAGGAGGAGAATACAATAGTAGAAGTAGAAGGACGAGGGTATAAGGAATAAAGGAATGGAGGAAGAAAGAGGCGTGTGGATTCATTAGGCTTTGGGTAGTTTTGATTATTTTTTAAAAAAATAATTTTTATATAATTTAATTACTTCATCGTCATTTTTATCGATTTTTCTTAAAATTAACGTCCTATCAAATGAACACATAATTGGATTTGGATGACAAAAAAAAGTATTTTAAACACATAATTGAATGACGGATGAAATATTTTAAATTATGGAATTTCATGAATTATAGAAAATTTGAATGATTAGGAGGAAGTCGAAGGCGGAGAATTTGAATTATTTGATAATTTCGAATTTTTTGTGAACTCCTTTTATTTAAAATATATATATATAATAAAGCATCAAATTTCAAGTTTATTTAAAATATACTCGAAAATTTTTGAAATTTATAGTAATAATCATGAAATTGTCGCGAATATTCTATGCATTTAGAACTAAATAATGTTATATAAAACATTAGTTTCAAAAATTTCGAAACTATTAATATAAAATTTATTTTATACATATTATTTATACTTATTTTATAATAGCATCGAAATTGCTATAAGTAAAAAATTTTGTTGGTCTTGTAGTAGCTCATTTAGAGGTGACGGTAGGATGCAAAATATCAGTCTCACTTAAAAATTCGAATTTTTAGAGCAATACAATCATTAATTATTTATCCGAAAATATGAATAAATAAAAATAATTTTAAATTAAAAATATATTAGTAAAAATAATTATTGTATAATAAAAATAATTTAAATGAAAATTAAAATAACCAATTAGTCTCATTAAAATTTTAAAAATTATATATTTAAAGTGTATATATATATATTTTTTTCCAAATAAAGAGATTGACAACATAAATACTCCACCCCCGTCCACAAACTAATGTCTTACTTTCCTATTTGGAAAGTCCAACGACTATTGTCCTTTTTTTTTTTAAATGTAAATTTTATATTTTTACCATGAATTTATTTATTACTTTAAATTTTTACCATACGATTAAGGGCAAATTTGTCTATTCGTAACAAAAAGACAATCACCTAAAAAATCGTGCAAATATATTTTAGGACAATAGAAATTCAACGAGGTAGTAAAATATATGAAAATATGAACACAATAAATAAGACGCTCTTACATAGCAGCTTAATGTTCACCTATAAATTAAATGGTCATGTCTTACCCTATAAAAAGGAGGACCAGAGGTGTCAAGATAAAAAAATAAAAAATAAAAATCAATTGGGCCATATAATAAAATGGCAGAGCAATGGGCTGTTGGACTTGTAGGATTCAAGTTCTCTATTATTTTTTGTTATATGTTTTATTTTATATATATATTTTTTGAATTCAATTAATACATGTACACAATTCAAATAAATTACATCATAAAATATATAGTACCTCAAGTGTAATTATATTTTGAAATATTTTTAATTAAAAAATTAAATCAAATTTAATTATAATGTTTGTTTTAAAAGATTTATCTAAACGAGTATATAGTTATATATATTTATAATAAAATATTTAAATTGATCTAGTTTTAAATTATTGGTTATTATCTACCTATTTGATTTCTCCAAATTTTGATTATGTAGTTTTTGCTAATATATTGTACAAATAAATCTATTGAAATAGATGTTTTATCAGTGAATTAATCAAATTTTATGAAACATTTTTTTATATACCATATGGGTATAATACTAAAATTATTATTATTATTATTTTTAAATATGAACAAAACATATTATTACAAGTCCGTAAATGGTGACCCGCTGGCGACTGATGCGAGGATGAATTCATAATGAGGTTATGAATTCAATTTTTTGCCTATGATTTACTTTGCTGATTTTTATGTCATAAAAAAAAAATTATATAAGTTATTCGTTAATATTTTTTTTAATAAATTAAAAAATAATAATAATTTTATTAATTAGTGGACATGTGCAATATTGTATTGACATTGTTACTTTTTAAAGTTCAAAGAAAATGATTTCTTTTAAAAAAAAGTTAAAATATTTTGACATTTATATATAAATTATTTAAAAGTAGTTACTTTTGAATGAAAAAATAAAATAAATACAATGAGTTTAGAATACTCCCTCCGTCCCGAAATTAAGTATTCATTTGCTTTTTGCACGTAGTTTTAGAAATATGAGTATTATATTGGGATATAATAAGAATAAAGTATAAATGACTAAAATAACTTTATTAGTATGTGTGATATAAAGGTAATGACATTTGTATAATATATTGTAAGTTCTAAGGGTATTTGTAATATTAGATAGATAGTACATTTACTAAAAAAAAAAAATAAATACTTTGTTATTGAACAGACTTAAATGGTAAAATAGAAAAATAGATACTTTTGTATGGGACGAATGGAGAATACTTTTGTCCCATCTCAAATATATTGTTTTATTACTATAAAAATAAACATGATTTCTACATTTATGGAAAATCATTCTTATTTTTTCAATACTATAACAAATACTATTTTTTTTTTTCTATATAAATTAACACATGTATTCCCTAATTTAACAATGTAAAGTATTATTCTCCCGACTCATATAATTTGTGTCTATTCTTTTTTTCAATCTTCTTATATAATTTATTTATTTTTTAAAAATATAATTATTTTAAATTTTATAAATTTTTAAATTTTAATTAAATTATTTAATTATACTAGTCTTAATTTATAATTATTTTTATTAATATATTTTTTAATTATTTACTTACCTAAATTTTTGTATGTGTATATATATATATATAGTAATATACCTAAATTATATGGACAGAGAGAGCATGCTGCACTCAATATCATTTGCCTAGAATTTATTTAGTTGTGATTCAACATTGAATTGAAATAAAATATTAAATTAAAATTTTTATTTAAAAAATATTTTGACATAATAGTTTGTAAAAAAAACTATGTATTTTAATTACAATTATACAAAATGAATAATATTAATTTAAATTTAAAAAATAAAAATCCTGAAATTATGTACGAAAAATTATGCCCGATACATATGAGACTGAAGTGGAATTTGTTTAATTAAAAAAGTCAACATAAATATCTAGCGTGGGTCAATGCTCGCGGGTGCATGTGCTCTCGCGGCACTGGAGTTTACCCTCCCTCGCGTTATTCTTTTCTATCTATCTATCTAGGGTTTATTCGCAGCTGCTCCTCCCTCCCAAACTTATCGAACAACTCCGAGTTTATCCGATTCGCATCCATGGCGGAGGAAGTGGCCTACTCTTCGGGTAGAGGCGAATCCAACAAACGGAAGTACGAAGAAGATTCGCCGTCCCCGGTGGCGCGTAGGGCTACAGGTTTCTCGTCGCCACCCGACTCCGCGGTGCCTCCGCCATCATACAGCAGTGTTCCGCCTCCGTTGAGCGAGATTGAGCTGGCTAAGCAAAAAGCGCAGGAGATCGCTGCGAGGCTGTTGAACAACGCTGATCCGTCGAAGAGAACTAGAGTTGACAATGCGCCTAGCGTTGGCGGGGGAGGGTTTGATGCTATTGATTCAGGTTACTGTTACTTCCTTTTTGCATTAGTTTTTTTTTTTTTTTTTTTTTTTTTTCACGAAGTAAGGTATAAGTTTTTGTGCATTGATGAGTTTGGGGGTTTCCTGTGCTTTTCGCTCGGCTCTGCGTATGAATCTTTGCTCGTTTTTACTGTTAAAATCAACTTTTGTTCTGGTCATTGACGTATTTGTGTTGCATATTGATTGTACCGATTTTTGTTTAACGCCTGTAATGTTCTTATCTGAATGTGATTTCGCTTAATACATCTTGCTTCAATGGAAAAGTGGCGATTATTATTGTGGTCTTAATACGCTTTTATGTAGCTTATCGCTGTTGTTTAACTTTCTGTTAGTGTAAATTGACTTTGTGCTATTATTTTGCCTTGGAGACATTAACTATGTTCTTCTTGCGGTTTAACTGCATACGTTTCATAGTATTTCTTTGTTCATTTATTTTTGGACAAACTTTTAAATGTGTTCTTGTGTGAAACAGGCGTTTACCTTTCCGCTGGTAAAATATTCTCTCATTTGATTTGCCTTTTATTATATTCTATTGATATAGGGAGATTGAGAGATGACATATATATAATCACTGATCTGGATGCAGGTAGTGGCCAGAAGCATTTGGGTCTAGGTTTTGGTGGTCCGCCACAAGCTCCATCTTATGGATATCCAGGTCCAAGCAAGAAAATTGAGATACCCAATGGAAGGGTTGGTGTGATTATTGGTAAAGGTGGTGAAACGATCAAATACCTTCAACTGCAGTCAGGAGCTAAGATTCAGGTCACTAGAGACATGGACGCAGACCCAAATTCTGCAACTAGAGAGGTTGAACTCATGGGGACTCAGGATCAAATAGCGAAGGCTGAGCAATTAATCAATGATGTTCTTTCTGAGGTACTTCATATTGGTGTAACTGTGTGCTCTATTCAATGCCCTAACTTAATGATGCTGTCATCTTTTGTTTTTTTTTTCTATTAGTTCCTTTGTGGTACCATTAGGGCGTGCTATGTGATGACGGGGATTTTATTGAGAATCAGTTAAATGTGTTTTTTATCCTTACAGTTTGCAACTTGATGACAGGCTGATGCAGGTGGCTCTGGCATAGCATCTCGCCGTGTAACAGGCCAATCATCTGGTTCTGATCAGTTTGTGATGAAGATCCCCAACAATAAGGCAAGTCAGATAGTTCCTTTTGGTTCTGATGGTTTCATGTGCGTAGACAAGTTAGTAAAAACAATTGAGATTTTCAGGTGGGGCTTGTTATTGGAAAAGGAGGTGAAACTATTAGAAATATGCAAGCAAGTACCGGGGCACGTGTTCAGGTTCTTGTCTATGTTTTTTATAAACGTGTCTAAATTACTGATATGTCATCCACAGGTTGATTTTTCTTGTTGCATGATTTTATTGTATAATCATTCTAAAACCTTGCAGGTTATACCTCTACATTTGCCACCTGGTGATATGTCAAAAGAGAGGACAGTACAAATTGAAGGAACTACTGAACAGATCGAAGCTGCAAAACAGTTGGTATTCGAAGTCATTAGTGAGGTTTGTTCTAGGGTTGTTATTTCACTTGTTTCATGTGTTGGTGTTCTACACCAAGTTGTTGAAATTGACTTATATGATGCTTCTATACTGGATTATTCCAATTTGATGCCTTCTCTTCATCTGTTTGCTTATTCTATATGGTTTTGCTAGTTTGTGCACAATAGGGTAATTTCTTTATATATCCTAAAATGAATTTGCAAAATTCTCCTTGTCCCCACTAACATTGCTTGCCCTCTAAAATATTATTCAAGTTATTTCAATTTCGTCTGCCTCGTTTCCTCTTTGCATTTTTGTCAATATGGAGACTTGCAGATCTGTTTAGCCCCTGTCAAAATGCTCCCTGGATGCGGACAGCCTTTGCTGATCTACTCATGGGAGGGAGAACTCATTGATTTCTGGTTTGGACATGTTCTTTTGCTTTATAGTTTCTGTTAGGGGCCATTATCACCTCATTAATGTACTCTCAAAGATGTTGGTTCTTCCACTATTCAATCTATCACTAGTAAAGTTCCCAACATATTAACTTGGTGGGTTATGACTAGAGCCCAGGAATTTTTAAGTATAATCTCTCCCTCTCTCTCTCTTTATATATATATATAAATATATATATATATTGGTATACTTGATATTTTGTTTTATGGGGGAGGTTGTCTTGAATACCTCTCATCGAGGCCGATAGATATGATTTGAGTGTTTCTTGGCAGAACTGGGATGCATTTGAAGTTAATATTATTGGTAAATGATTGTTATCTAGGATTTTGGACAGCTATATGATAATATGATTGGCTGATATGATAGTCGATACTATGTGATAGTTGATATTCTTATGGAGAATGTCTAGGGGTTAAAGGACGTGAGACAATTGATGGCAGTCTGACGCCAACATGGTGTCCTTTAAGGTTGTTTCTTCCACATTTTCTGGTATGATTTCATAAATCATTCTGGATTATTGAGTTTAACTTTGAGTGGACCCGCTAGACTGAAGAGATCAGTCTTCAAGATACATTTAGTACGCTGCAAATGTGCAATACATGAAGAGTATTTGGCTCTCTATTTCTCAACTTCCAGTAAACTGCAAAAATGTTGTTTGCTGAATTTAAGTTTACAGCTCATTTTATGAAATCTGGAGTTTGGTTTACTCTGGTTTCTCTATCCCATTATATTACTCTTGTATTTTGAGTATTTTATAAAATCTTAGTGCTTGATGCTGCCACTCTTGCATTCAAGTGTTTTTCTATTGTTGTGCTTAATGCTGCCAGCTTGAGCTCTACTTCTGATTATAACCTGTTATATATATTCATTTAATTATCTTTTTGCTTCACTTTGTACAACTGTTTTCTCTTTTCAACTGTACAAAATATTTTATACTGCTGTTCTTGTTCGTCTTGTTGGTCTTAGTGTTAGGTTTAATGCTGTTGTTGCTACCGCTGCAATTGGTGCTGCCAACACTACTATTTATATTATATATTTAACCTTATGGTTGGGACAGCACGTATTCCATTTCATATACTATACATATTAAGTTATTGAGACACGCCTCTTCATATTGTGTTTAATATTTTTATTTTTAGTTTCTTTTCTTTAATCTTTATTTCTTGCCACTCATAATTTTAGTTTTAGATAAGGTTACACATTTCATATAAATGTGTATGCGTCTTTATTATGCTCATGCATATAATATACCAATGTTTTCCGCTAGTTGTGTCGTCTCTCTATCTGCATTTTGTTTTGGAGAATTGGTATTCTCATGTCATAGACAAGAGCAAGATCTTGGGGTCTTATTATCTGATGTTAACTTTTATTGGATATTTTACTTGAAATTTAATATATCTCCTGATAAATTGTTTGATGGATCTAATATTGAAGCCTATTGTTGTCTAGAAGTCCCCTTGTTTATACTGCCATTTCCACCATTGGACCTTTAGTCTTCGAATTATTGCTATAGATGTATAGTATTGTGCAATTTTTTTTGTGCCCATTCATTTCGAATAGGGAGAGGATGGGCTTCTGCAGGAGTTATCGAATAATACGGTCCAACAAGTACGGTATGTAGGCATTAATCTTTTTCTTCCATGTATGAATATAGTGCTCGACATATGGTGACGTGCTGTGAGATCCTTTATTCGCTAATTGATATATTGCTTGGCTGTCTTATTTTATCAATTACATGTTTTAGTTTCTGTATGTAATTGACTCTGGATTCAGATAGAACTAGATTCATTTGTCATTACAATTCTGTGCAGAATCGTCCAAGAAATCCATCAATGTCCGGAGGATACCCACAGCAAGGTTATCAATCCCGACCTCCCGCAAACTGGGGGCAACCTGGTCCACCGATGCAGCAATCTGGTTACGGTTATGTCCAGCCTGGCGCATACTCCGGTCCACCACAATACAACATGAATCAACCGCCTTACTCTGGTTATCCTCCCCCCGCATCTGGTGGGTATGCCGCAGGATGGGATCAGTCTAATACTCAAAACCCGCAAACTGCTCAAGGAGGCGGTTACGATTACTACAACCAGCAGCAGCCACCATCCCAGCAACCACATGGAGGCTCTGCTGCTCCAACAGATGGTTCTGGCTACGGATACGGCGGCAACGCCCCGTACAGCCAGGGACAGGGCTATAGTCAAGATGGTTATGCGGCCTACAATGCCGGCACAGTTCAATCCGGTTATGGACAGCCCCAAACAAACCCGTCTGCAGGATATGACCAGCAGCAACAATACAATTCCTCTTATGCCAATGTTCCTAACCCGAACCCCGACGGCCACACCGCTTCATACGGAGCTCAGGTGGACCCCAATCAGGCGCCTGCACCCGCACAATCATACAATACTAGTGGTCAACCTGCTGTAAACCCTAATTACCCACCACCAGCTTCTGGTGCAGCTGGTTATGGGCTACCCCCTTCTTCCCAGGGTGGTTACGGTACTCAACCACCATCTGGCTATGGTAATTACGGATCATCCCAGACTCAGAAGTCCGGTGGTCCGCTGGCATATGCACAACCACAGCAGTCCCCGAGTACTCAAGGTGGCGGTGGTGGCTATCCTCAGTCAGGCTACCCTTATTCCCAGCCGCCGCCTACTCAGCCAGGCTATGCTCAGACTGATTCCGGTCCTCAAAGACCTCCGGCATCCGGATATCCGGGGTATGGTGCCCCGCCTTATGGAGCATCTCCAGCAACTCAACAAAGCTATAGACAACAACCTCCCCCATATAACAGTGCCTATGGTGACGGATATTCCCAGCCTGCAACCTACCCCAGCGATGGATCTGCTGGCGGCAATGCCAGAGGGATTTATGATGCAACCACCCCACCCCACTCAGCCCAGCCTTCCGGGGCGGCCAAAACCTCTCCTGCCAATTGAATGTGACAATCTATTTCGTATATGGTACGCTCTCTAGCTTGTTATCCTGTGACTTATTAGGTGTATCTTTTATGTGGAATTAGTTTTTCTAGTCTTTCTTTTTTTTACTTTTTTCCTGTGTGCTTTTGTTATCTGTTTTATTATTCTGGTGGTGTTTTTATGGATCGAGTAGTGTTTTCATTTAAATTCTGTTGTACTTGCAAATGCCCGACTATTTGTTTTAGATGATGGGAATTCTCTTGTATGAATTTTAGTAAACTTGTGATGAGACTGCTATTGACATTGTTAGTAATCTAGGATTAAACCAAAATATGAAATGACTGCTTCCTAGAATTGTGCAAATTAGCCGAGCGCCATCCAAAAAGCAATGAGCCAGCCTTTTTGGTTTTTGGATGTTGGGCTCGATGTTTGCTTTGCTTGGTCATCCTCCCATTTCTCTGTATTAGAACAGCCATTTGTTGTCCTTGCTGGCCATGAATTCCAATATTTCCGTGCTTTTGATTGATTCTGGCTTCTAAATCTGTTTATATCTGGTTTATATATATATGTTACAAGTGTGCCAAAATATGTTGCAGTATCAGGAAAAGGGATATCAAAATACTTAATTTAATTAAAATTAATATCAAACAACGCCATAATAAAACAAAAATATGTAAGTAAAATATTCATCATTATTATTACTCCCTGTAAAGTAGAAATGACTAAAATTATCTTATTAATATGTGTGATACAAAGGTAATGACATTTGTGTAATATATTGTAAGTTGTAAGGGTACTTGTAATGTTAGGTAGACAGTACAGTTATTAAAAAAGGAAATGGATATTTTGTTATGAGACGGACTAAAATGGAAAAATGGATATTTTGTTATGGGACCTTTGTTATGAGACGGATTAAAATGAAAAAATGGATACTTTGTTATGGGACGGAGGGAGTATTATTATTGTTAGTGGTAGCAGTGGTATTATTGTGGCAACTTACAATGACATGCATATTATGATAGGTAACTCACAAAAAAATTTTAAAATAGAAAAAATAAGTTAAGTTTATAGCAATACACATTATTAATTTATTTATATATATGCACAAGTCAACCAAATATGCACAAAATTTGTTAATATAATAGAAGTATGCAATTTAAATTTTATAAAAAATACCTCTGTTTACACAGATATTTTAAAGTTGATATTATTTATTTATGAGAATTTTTAATTATATTTAAAGGAAACAGTAATATTTGTATATTATGGGTTTGTTTTTTTAAAGTAAATTTGGCAAATTTTGCTTGGTGTTTGTTTTTGAGATTGTTGGAATATAAATTTTTCTATGTGAAGTATAAAGATTTGTATATGTAATATAAAAATAATGAATGTGTGTAGTGTATTAATTGTTTTTGAAAAAATATGAAAAAAATATTAAAAGAACAAAACAGATTCCCTCAATTTTATTTATTTTTTTAAATTATCGAATCAAATATTTTATTTTTTATTTTTTGTATTATAAAAAAAATTAATTTTTTATTTAAAATATTACATTAATATTTATTTATATTTTTTGATAAAAGGCATATATATGTGCTAAAACACAACTAGTATATTAGAAGTAGAATAATACTTAATTAAGATACAGGCTTTATTATACAGGATTTTTAATTTTCATTTATATAATAAGATATTACTATTTAAATTAAAATTGAAAATATAATTCTAAAAGTAAAATCAAATTTCAAACAAAACTACAAAATAATTGAGGCTGTTTATAAATAGTTGGAAAGTAATGTCCTTCTGAGTAAATACACCACAAATTCACAACCCCTCTCTCCCTGACTTTCTCTCTAGGGTTTCATTCTTTGCCATTTCTCTCCCACTATATATATCCACACACATGCGCAGTCGCCTGCAGCCTCTTCCATGGCGCTCCTTCCTTTCTTCGTCTTCCAGCCGCCGCAGTCTCATCGCTTCTTAGATTTGTTTGCAGCATATTAATTTTCGATCCTCCCAGGTTTCTGCATTTCCTCTTGAAAATTTTTCTAGAAATTGTTTGCAGATATGGCGTCTTTTGCTTAATTCAAGTTTTCTTAGGTTGAGATTTGGGGATGGCTCCATACGAGTCAGCAGCAGGTGCCTCTATAATGGCAATCTGTCTGCCGCTTGGAGCCGAAATCGCGATACCCGATTTGAAGATCCATGAAATGCATTTTCTCAATTGCTGTTTCATGGTACAATAGCTCGGGCAAAAATTGATTTAATTCCACGCGATTTCGCAATATATGGATTTCTACATCCACACCTCTGCGTGTGTTTATGTCCGGCACTTAGAACCGGTGTTTGTTTAAATCCGCCATAGCAGACCGCCTTTTGCACGGTGCCAAAATCAAACGCTGCCTTTCACGATTGGAGGAAGCTCGATCGATTGATGTTCATCGTCATCGTTATAGTTTCTCTTCAAATTTGTGGCAGCAATACATGTTTCAATTCTTGAAACGAACTGCTTGATTATGTTCATTTTTTATGCTTTGATTGGTGTTAGGGTTCAAATAAGAACGATGAATATGAGATCTAGCAGTATGCTTCCTATTTGAGCATTTAATCCTAAGAATAAATATTTGATAATAAATATCTGATGCTTTGATTGGCTTGGTTATGGTTTGGATTTGAATTGAGAAATATGAAATTGGGTGTTTAGAGATTCAATCTATTTGAATTTTGAAAGTTGATTGACATTGATGAAGAGCTAACATGTAAGAAGGGATCAAGAACACAATGCAATGATAGCTTGTGTTTGGTTCTTGATTCTTCAATGAAATTTCTTTGTTACGCTTGGCTTCTGAGTCTGTCTTCTTTCATTTTGCATATTGTTTGTTCTGTTCTTGATTCTCTTTGATCAAGTATGGCATCTCCATCATTATCTTCAAATAGTTTATTAGTGAAAAAATTAATTTTAAAAAATATAATAGATGTGGTTTGGGTTTGCTATAAAAGTAATATTTGATGGGATGTTTTGTGAAAAGAAATTTTTTTTTTTTTTTTTTTTTTTTTTTCCGAAAAATGCAGAATTCATATAAGAAAATTTGGGATTAAGAAACGTACCTTTAGTAATACTTAATATTTTTTTTAATTAAAAATTAGTTTTAATTTTATAAATTAAAACAATTGAAATAAATAGTTCTTTGATATAAAAATTATTTTATTTGTAAATATATAAATTTGTAAAAATTTAAGGGTTTGTTCACATGATATTTATTATTATTATTTATATTAAGTATGGAGAATTGTGTATATATTTTGTGTATTGTTGATTTTTTATAATGAATAAGAAAATATATATTATATATATTGTATTAATATGAATTTATAATATATTTTTTAGAATATTTGTTAGGAGTTGTGCTATAAGTAAAAAATATATATATAAAAAAAAGAAAAACACTATTTACAATATAAACAAAAGTGATCAATTTAAAAAAGTCAATTCATTTTAGTTCTATTGTAGATAAATTTAATTAATTTTGATCTTCTTGTTGAAAAATCAACAAAAAACATTGACTAGGACATAACATAATATGATTTGGCAGTTAACTTGAACTAAACACGACCGTGTTGGAGCTAATCGACAGATCTCAGGCTGCTGCTTGCTTTAGCTAGCTCTTATCGGTAAAGAAATTCAATTACTGGCGCCGCTAATCCCACTTGACCTTTGCCTACCGTGGTTATGATCGGTTGTTGCCCCTAAAGCTGACAAAAATTGACTCGATACGACAACTAGACATGAACCCGATACAAAATAATTGAGTTTGGGTCATAGACTTCAACCTGTTTATGTATATGGGTTGACATGAACCCAATACAATAATAAACGGGTTATGTTAGGGTTGAGGTTCTCAATTCGAACTCGACACGATAATCCGATTATAATATATTAGTATTGATTAATATATTTATTATATATGTAAAATAATTATAATTTAATAATTTTCTCATAAATTAATTTAAATTAAGTTCAATTTTAAATAATTTAACATAATTTACGTTCAAACCAATAAAAATTAACATAACACATATTTATATTATATAAACCCTAACACGATCCGTTTATTATTGTATCAACAATTTAATTACATAATAAACGGGTCATGTTACCGGGATGCAATACGACCAAAAATAATTTAATTTGAATAAAGAATTTAGCTTTAATTATGTATACGGGTCAACATGAGTCAATCCGAACCCGACACGATAATAAACGGGTTAACATGAACTTGATACGATAATAAACGGTCGAGTTAGGGTTGAATAATTTAATCCGTTTAAAGTATTTAACCCAATACGAATCAACCAATTGCCAGCTCTAGTTGCCCCATCGTTAGTTCAAATGGATTCCCGGCTAGAAATAGATAGATAAGGAAGAGCCTCCAGATATTCCCCTAACGATAGGAACACGGGTGTGTTCACTTTGTTTTTATCTCTTACATATTTTTTTCAAATAAATTAATATATTACACATATTTATTATTTATATATTACATACAAAATTTCTATACTTTACATAAAAAAAAATATCTTTTCCAACTATTTTCACTGAACAAACACACCCATAATTCCTTATACCTTACATAACAATTATCTCGGTCTATATTCCGAATGCCTAAAATAAAGATGATCATAGAAAATGTAGGTGATTTGATCCAATTTTACAAGGTTGTGTTGATCAAAGCGAATGCCGTTGTGAACTGTTACATCAGATTTCGTTAAGTTTATGTCAGTATTTTTAGTGATGTTTCAATTGATTGAATTTATTTACAATAGATTGATGAATATTTTATGTTAGAGATCATCGTTGATAATTTTTTTATTGTATTGAGATAATATTGATTTTTTTCCCAAATATATAAATACTACTCCCTCTGTCTCCGTCCAAATGGCTCTTTAGAGTTTTGTAGTAGACTAAAAAATAATAGTATTTTATAGTTAATGGAAATGTTAAAGAGGTTTTGATATTTTTATAGTTTGACTTTATGTAAAAAATAATTGTATATTCAATAATATATTTGTAATTTAGGTAAAAGTTAAGGTATTTTGGTAAAAGTTAAGGGTATTTTAATAATTGTATTGATATATGATTATTTTTACTAAAATAGAAAACAAATACTCTAGAATGGGACGAACGAAAATGATATAAAAAGGTACCTTAAGTTGCGGCAAACGAAATATTAATTTTTATATATATATTTTTATCACATTAATTTAATATAAATATAAATTAAATAAAAAAAAATTATTCCAACTTATAAACATAATTAAATTATAAATTAATCAATATTAAACATTATATACATGTAACAATTCTAAAAATAAAATTAATGCATTTGGTTTGTATTTCTAACACAAATCAATAATATTCAATTATTATGGTTTTCACATAAAAATAATATTTATTTTATTAAATATTTATTATTTATTTATTAATTTTTAAATATTAATTAACAAAGAGAGTATTAACTTATTGAAATTAAAATTCAAATCAAACTATAAATTTCAAACCAAAATTAAACAAAATATAGTTAATTTGTCATTTAATATAAATAACTACTCCTTCTGTTTCTGAACTAAATATTCTTTTGCTTTTTTATGTAGTTTTATAAATATTAGTATTATATTGGGATATAGTAAGAATAAAATAGAAATGACTAAAATAACCTTATTAGTATGTGTACTATAAAGGTAACGACATTTGTGTAATATATCGTAAATTGTAAGGGTATTTGTAATGTTAACTACATAATAGTTATCACACAGACTAAAATGGAAAAATAGACAATTTTGTTATTGAAACGAGGGAGTAATATGAATTGGTTACTATTGCTAATCAAATTAACTAACAGGTCTAAAGGCACTCTTTGTATTGTTAGAATGTTAGGTTGGTACTGAAATGACAAAAGTACCCTCCAAAAACAGTCAAAAACAGCATCGGCGACGGCGTGGATAACCAAAGGACAGAAGACACAGGCCGAGCGAAATGCAGGAAACCGATGTCCCGACCTTCACTCCACCGGCGGCGGGGCATGGCGGCGGTGGAACCGGAACCGGAACCGAGTACATACTTCCGTCCAACCGATGTTCGAGCGAGGACATTTTATTCTGCATCGACGTCGGACCAGAAATGCTGGTGGAGATGAAGGTGAACGTGCCCAATGGCCGGCCGTACACCAGATTGGACTCCATAAAGCAGGCGATTATGCTATTCGTCCATGCGAAGCTCACAATTAATCCTGATCATCGATTTGCCTTCACCGCTCTCGCGAAATCCACTTATTGGGTATTTATTCTATCTTCGATTTGGTACTGTTAGGTTGCAGATTTTTTCTTACTATCTAGTTTGTGGTTGAAGTTCGTTTGTTAATTAACTCAAAAAGCCTTGTTAGCACTGATTCGTTCATTTATTAGGTGCTCCTCGTTGAGGATCCCTTGCTAACTATCTCGGCATTTGGAACTGTTGAAATTCTTACATTCACTCTTTCAAAATTTCATCTCAAATTAGACTTATTCAATTGTGTCTTAAGTTACATGAAATGCTTAATCGAGCTAAAAAACGCCTCCTCGGCTTCGTTAGCTTCTTGAGAATATATATATATATATATATTATTCAGACCTTGTTATGTATCTAAGGCCATTTTGCATCCTAATTTTGGTTGCCCTTGTGTACGTTTAGTTTTCGATTGATGAGATTTTCACCTTTTAGTTTTCTATAGCCATTGTTTACATGCTTATACATATATATATATATGTATATATGTATGGGAAAATTGTTGTTGTAATACTGCTCATCAGAATATAAAAAGATCTCTAGGTTGATCGGCTGTTTTGTGAAACTGGGAAAACTACTCGCTTTCTGGAGATAGCCTAAGGCTGTAAAACCTGAACGGAGCACATTACTCCAAAATTTTGATGAGGATTAAGTTGTTTTTGATGATTTATCATAAATGCCATCGAAAGCTAGTGATAAAATCTAGTTATATACCTTAGTAGTAATAGATTGCTGCCGTATGCCCTGCTATTATGTTGATTGTGCCACCTCTACAAATGTTATATTTGATTGTTACATTTTGTCCTGGTCAAGAACAATTCTATAAATCCAGTCATGTTACTCAAATGTTACAAATTGGCCCACTGCGAGCTTTATGATAAAACTATGAGTGAAGCATTGGTTGGAAAGTTTAACTTTGTTGAAGTAGTTAACAAATCTGCTAGAGGTGACTTGTGAGTGCTAAAATGATTGTTATACGATTTCTTTGGATCTCGATTTTCATTTTATCTTACTTTGGTATATTAACTCTGTCAGAGTTAAGAGGCAGCCTTTTCCACATATTAAACACACTTATATGCTCCCTTATTCCTGTAATTTTGTTTAGTTAATAAGAAATCCGCCTTTGTTAGTTAAAGACGTCATCCTGACATCCATTTATTGTTTTTCTGTTAAGCTAAAAAAGGAGTTCAGCTCCGAAGTTGATTCTGCACTTGCTGCTTTACGAGATATCTCTGTGGATTCATCATCCACTAGTGCAGATCTCACTCACCTCTTTAAACTAGCAAATCATGAAGCGAAGAAATCCCGCTCACAGAATCGAATATTCCGAGTGGTGAGTATATCCGTGAAGCAACTGTTTCTGATTCTTAATAATGATACTGTTTTAAGATTAAGCAAGCTGGAATTGACCAGTGTATTGGAGCCAGAAAATTGTAGAAAATTTATTACTAGTCCAGTTATGGTCAACTAGATTGCAAAATAATTTTGGATACATATTCTCGTACGTATTGAAGGAAGGGTATTAACATGAGTTATGCCATGTGAAAATGAATGAAAGTTTGAGGTATTACAATCAAACTCATAAATGGAAGCATATAGATAGTAAAACTAAGATTCATCTGTATCAATTATTGAGGATGTCTCCACAGTCCAAAAGGATAAAAGATGCATCGTTTCGTAATCAGGTAATAGCTTTAATGATCTATGCATTACACTCCTTTATTTACTAAGCTTATCCTATGTGTCTTGATGCTTGAATATAATGCTTAGATGAAATTTCATACAGACGTCTAAAACATCCTTACGTGTTTCTGCTAAAAGAAATTTCTGTTTTCCTTCCTAACGCATTGTCCCTTCTTGGAAAAAAGTTATTTCAATGGTAAAGCATGATCTGTGTTCAAGATTTTATTAAGAAAAATTCGAACGCTATCTTGGCTGCATATTGATATAGAAGAAGTTAAATATTCCATAGTTGACACATTTTTGAAAACTAAATGTCCTTCTTGGGGAGATCTCCATTTTTTCTTTAGGTATCAAATATTGCAAAAAGTCCTGGTTCTAAGCTGCTAAGTTTGTGGTATTTGTGTTAAAATGTCATTTGAGAAATTATTAATCGTGCATTCGATCTTAATTCCAGTTACTTATTAAATTTACTCCGTTTTTATTCTAGATTTATTCTTCTGGTTATGTTTTTAACATCTTCACAATCTTCCCGGCTTATGACAGACTCCATGGTTTAGCAGAAACATTGACTGGTTTCCTATTTCTTTCCCCGCAGATCTTGCTCTACTGCAGGTCGTCCACCATCCCTCAATATCAAATACCTTCAGCCACAAAACTCTTCACCATGGATGTCATGTACCTCCACGACAAACCCGGACCTGATAATTGCCCACAAAAGGTGTACGACTCCATGGTGGATGCCCTCGAGAGGGTCAGCGAATTCGAGGGCTACATATTCGAGAGCGGGCAGGGATTGACACGATCTCTTTTCCGCCACATGTGTGTTCTGCTATCCCACCCTCAGCAACGCTGCTTGCAGGATGACGTCGACCTGCCCAAGCCTTTGACAAAGAAGACTCCTGCAGCTGAGGCGACCCCAGGGGACAATTCCAATACTGTTGCTGCCTCCCCCAGGTAAGTATGCTGAAACTTATCTCTTTTTTTTATCGATAAAACTTGCACGTAATCTTTTGGAGCTAAATTTACTGGTTTTTTTGCGCCAAAATTGCCTATATGCTATTTGAATGATGCGGAAAGCATGAATATTGTTTTTGAGTTTACTTGTTGCTGTTGCTTAGATACACATTTTTAGTAGCCGAGTTGTGCCGATTATATTTTGAGTTCGTTAGTAAGTCAATTTGTTCTTGTTTGAGGTTGTTGGCCTGTTTATAATCAAAACCCGCGACAATAGAATTAATTAGAAACTTCTTAAATCGAACCAAAACGCTTCGAATTCAATAATTCATATATATGTCTTAATCAAGCTAGAACACTATTTAATTTATTTATTTTTGTGCTGATGTTTTTGATCAATTTTGAGCATCCTATGGGGTGTAATTGTTCAATTACCACTTGTTATTTTGGCTTAATTTAGACATACATGCTGTGTTAAGGTTTGGGTTTTTTTTTTTTTTTTTGGGAATTTGATGATAATAAAAACATTGATTGAAACAGTATTTAATGTTTGAAGTTCACAATTGATTTCTTTTTTCAATGAAATAGCCCTAAGATTTATTGGATTTGAAGCTTTTTGTTTCAACTGACCAACTTTTAGTTAATTGCATTGTTGTGGGTTAGGGGGTTTAAGATTTATTGGATCTGTAGATTTAATTGTTAATTGTACTGTTGTGGTTTAGGGTTTAGGAGTAATTTTATTTGTATTTTTAAATTTTAAAAGTAAATTGATTGGTTTATTACATAAGCTTTTTAACAACATATTTACAAAATAACTACAATTTTAAGAAGTATCATAGTCCTTTAGTTAACACTATTACATAATGCAAATAAGGCCCTTGGGTGTCCGGGATGATCTGATCTAGTTGCGTTGAGGTAAATTTTGTGCAATTTAGTCCACAAATTAATATATGTATATATATATTAACAACAAATATGTGTCGAAATCAACTATGAAATATAAATTGTATTGTCTTTTAATATATGATATGTGTTGTATGTTTTATATTAATATAATATAAATACAATATATAGACGGACAACATATGTCATAATCAAATACAATACAATATATATATATATATAATTGATTTAAATACATAGTGCTTTTATATGTGCAGAATGAAAATTTTAACATAGTGTAGATTTCCTTTTTTTCATCATTATAATCCGTCCCATATATTTTAAAGCATTATATTTAATATTTAATTTTATTCAAAATGTAAATGAGCATATTTTTTGGGACGGAGGAGGATTATTATGGACGTGTTCTTTTAACAAAACAATATATAAAATATTTTTTCAAAAATACAGTTAAATTGCAAAAGAATTTACCTGTAGTTTCATGCACTTTCGTCAAATTTCTATACTTCTAAAAGTGCGTGGTTTCATAAACTTTGCTTCTAATTCTTTTAAGGATACTTATTAAACGGTATTTGATATAAATGCGCTCAAACTGCGAATAAATTTTAGATTCTAAATTTCGAAATCCCTAAAATTACAAATATATTTATTTTTTATATTTAGCCTAAAAAAATAGTAAATATACTAAAAAAATAGTTATTTTTCTCATGTTTTATCAGTTTTTTTTTACTATTTTTTTTATGTTAAATATATATATTTGTAATTTTAGGGGTTTAGAAATTTAGATTTTAAAATTTATTCGTAGTTTGGGAGCATTTATGTCAAATACCGTTAAATAAGAACCGCAAAGGGGGTTAGACGCAAGCTTATGAAACCACGAAAGAGTTTTCACACAGTTTTAGAAGTACGGGGAATTTGGCTCAATTTTATAAAACACAAGTAGATTTTGTGCAATTTAGCCCAATAATATTAATGTATCACATGTATTTGTTTATTTTCATATTTTCTATACAATTTTTTATGTTTTACATGAAAAAAATTATTTATTCAAACTATCTTACAAAACAAACACCCCTATAAATTTTGTATATTATGTAGGGATGAACAAATACTGAAATCAAAATCCTTCAATTGAACTAAATCAATTTGAATTTTTAATTAATCAATTGGCTTTTGGTTTGATTACAAATATTATACTATTAAGAAAGTTGTCATTGATTTTTCTCATGTTGATTTTTTTATATTAGTTACGTAATACAAATTAAGAGAAAAAAATAAAAATATGTTTATTAGAATCTTATAATACAAATATAATAATATTTGTAAGGTAAATTATTCAAATGTAATAATTGTACAATAACCCAAAAATTAAATAACAATTTTGCACCGGGACGAAGGGAATATGTCAAGTTCGAATAAATTAATGTATTTAGTATTATTATTATTATGCTATATGTAAATCTTTTCTTTAAAAAAAAAAAAAATTATGAAAAAATTTAACACATAATTCGATCGCCGCGTCCACATATACATTTTAATATTTATGCAGGAGTTTTCAAACATTTCGAAAGTTAGGGCAGTTTATAATTATCTATTTATTTAATAATGTGTTAATGGGTTTGATAAAAAGTTGTGAGTGTATTGATAATTTATTGGACAGATTACTATTGATAACAATTATTATTATTATTATTATTATTATTATTATTATTATTATTATTTGTATATGCTGACTTTAGGCTCATAAGAAAGGACAAATTTAATTTAATAACGTTGGTCGTATTTATGTTTATATATATTTTTTTTTATTTCAAATTCAAATTGACTATAGATTAAATAACCCAATTTGCAAATAGATTAATTAGTAAGAGTTGAAAATAAGCAACAGATGAAAATTTGAAAATATATGTTGGCCTACATATCATGTATATCATCATCGTCGTCATTTATTATTATTATTATTATTATTATTATTATTATTATTATTATTATTAATTTCTACCACTAAGCTAGACGTTATAAACAGGTTATAATAAATAATAGTCGGTTCTCACATTATTAAAAAATAATAATAATAATAATAATAATCACATGAAGTATCAATCGATAACATATAGTGTGCACATTGACGGTATATATGATAATAATTCATACTTTCCACCGTTTTAATAAAATAGTCTTATTTATCATTTTCGTTGGTTCTAAAACAGTAGTCTTATTTTCATAAATAATTATATAATCATAAAACTATTCCTACTTTTTCATTTTTATTACACAATTGTCACTACTTTTTACACTAATACACTCAGAATTGCATAAAAGTCTTTTATTCATATTTTTTTTAATCAACTACCAATATAATATCAATATTCCTTGAATCTCGTGCTCAACTCAATTAAAACTATATTTATAGGACGGAGGATGAAGTATATGTTTACAAAAATATATTTAAACTAATAGCACCTAATAACAATTTATACATACATATTTTACTAATGCATTATCAAATTATATTTGATGTATTAATTAGTAATAATTACCAAACGAACCATTAATCCCTACAAGAATACACATCCAATAAACAAATTTAGACGTGTTTGGAGGTTTTTAGAATTTTAAAAATTTTTAAAAAAATAAAAAGTTGGTATTTGATTCGATATTTTGTGAGAGAAAAAATATATTTGATTTGATATTCTTTTAAAAAAATGAATAGGGCAAAATAAATTAAATTGTGTTATGTAAAGAAAGTCTAATTTATTGTTTCTTCTTGCAATAAAACATTACATTAAGTCAATTCTCTGGCGGACTTTCCTTCCTTATTAATTACTCCCTTCGTTCCTTAACAATCTATCTATTTTTTCATTTTGGTCCGTCTAATAACAAAGTATTTATTTTATTTTTTTTAGTAATTGTACTATCTACCTAACATTACAAATACCCTTCCAATTTACAATATATTACACAAATGTTATTACATTTATATCATACAATACTAATAGGGTTAATTTAGTTTTTTACCTTTATTTCTACATTATCCCAATATAATACTAATATATGTAAAAAATAAATGAATATATAAATATGGAAAAAAAAAGGAATAATTAATTAATAAATACCAACATTTATTACATATTAAAAAAAGCACACGTCATTCCAAATAGGATGGATGGACGGTTGCCCTTTGAACTGAATCTTGGGCTAACCTAAAATAATAACAATAATTAAATTAATTAATTATTTAATTAACAACACGTCACATATTAATTAATTAATTAGTCAATTATAATAAACCTCAATTATTGATTTTGAACTAGCCCCTAAGTCAACCAACCAGCCAATTAATTAATTAGGGATTTCTTCAACTCTCTCCAATCTCTTATTAATTTCTTAATTACACCATTATCAATTAAATTAAATTAAATTAAATTAAATTGAGACACTGGGACTGGGTGCCTGCCTGAATATTCTTCTATATATATATTATTTGGATTCCAAATTAAACTATCTGAAGAAGAATACAAAAATGGGGATCTGTGCTTCCTCAAACGTTGTTCATTCTTCTTCAGACGCCGACGACATTTTTGGCGCCGCCGTCGTTTACTGCTCGAAAACCACCGCCGGCCGGCGAGGTTCCGCCTACTCCCTCACCGGAAGCAAAGGCCTCAACCAAGATTCCGCCATTCTTTACCAGGTACGTAATTTTCATTTTTTGATGTATATATATATATGGTTTAATAAATAAGGGTGTGTTTTGTCAGTAAGTTTAACTATGTGTTATAAATAGATGTTGATATAATAATATTTTGAATATAAAGTAAATTTATAGTATTATTTTTTTTTATCGCTCGGTGATTTATCTATTTTTCTATTTTGGTCTTTCATAATAAAATATTCATTTTTTTTTATAATTATACTATCAACATAATATTATAAATATTTTTTCAATTTACAATATATTACACAAATATCATTACTTTTGTATCATGCAATACTAATACTAGTAAGGTTAGTTCAATCCTTTTATCTTTATTTATACTGCATCTCAATGTAATACTAATATTTCTAAAATTTTATAAAAAAAATAAATTGATAAATCCATATGGAACAGAAAATATAAAAAAATAATAATTATTTGATGTGATATTTTTTAAAAAATATATATGAATAATAAAAATCTACACTAAAATCTAGTGAAAACACCACCTTAATTATTTTCATATTAATTAATTAATGTGAATTTCTATAATATATATATATTTTTGTAGGGTTACGGGGGTGAGGATGGGGTGCTGTGTGCGGTGTTTGACGGGCACGGTCAGAACGGCCACGCTGTCAGCAACCTCGTACGGAACCACCTGCCGGAGCTGCTTCTCCGCCACCACAACAACACCTCCGGCGACGGCGAGAATAATAATATGATTAAAGAAGCATGTGTGATAAGTGCATTTACAGCCATGGATAAAGATATCAAGATTCTTCATGATCAGACAACCTTCGACTTGGCCTCCAGCGGAAGTACAGCTGCACTTGTCATCAAACATGTACGTAATAATTAATCAAATTAATAGATTTAATTAATTAATTATTTAAATATTTTCTTCTGATCTTTAAAATTAATAATCTCTTAAATTAATTAATTAATTAATTTTATTAGGGAGAAGAGTTGGTGGTGGCGAATCTTGGAGATTCTCGAGCTATTTTAGGACAACGAAGCGATGGGAAGAAGGGAGAGAAAGTCGTCCCTTTTCAGTTAACCACGGACCTCAAGCCCGGACTTCCATGTAAGCAACAACTTTATTTTTTTATTTTTTATTTTTTTTAACTAAAAAAGCAAAAAAAAAAAGTTTAATAATAAAAAAAGTAAAATAAATTTTAGATGACAGAATAATATTAATTTTTCTCATAACAATATCATATTTAACTCACTATACAAATTTTAAAAATTAAGAAAATTACTAAGGGTGCGTTTGTTTGGAAGTTTAGATTTTGAGTTGGGATTTGAATAATAAAAATTTTGAATTTGAATAGTTGTACGATGTGATATAAATAGGTGTTGATGTGATGTTTTGAATATAAAATTGATTTTTACTATAATATAAAAAATAAAAAATAGATTTTTGATTTTGATATTTTTTTGGGAAAAAAATGAGATGAATAGTGTAAATCTAATCCAATCTCCCAAACAAACACATCCTTAGTAAACACATCCTCTTATTATGTGATTAATTTAATTTGACGGTTGAGCTAAAGTGTATATTATATATATATATGCATATATGTTACTATGCATCATTTTTATAAAAAAAAAATAGTATTTCACTCAATTACTATTTTATTGAAAAAAAATAAATAAATTCAAAGTCTACAAAACACAATAGGGTATGAAAAGTGTGTTTAGATAGATTTTTTTTTTTTTTTTTTTAATGTAGTATGAAAATTGTGTAAAAGTATAAAATATATTATTTTAAATTAAATATCTGACTTTTTATATAGAGTATTTGAATGTTTTTTTGATTTTTTTTTACTTTTGTAAAAAATATTTTGTATTATTTATTTTGAAATTTTCAATTGAAAAATAATATTGATAAAAAAAAAAAAGCGAAATTTTATAAAAATAAATAATTCGATTCAATTCAAATATCTGCAGGCGAAGCAGAGAGAATAAGAAAGTGCAAAGGCAGAGTTCTTGCACTTAAAGAAGAATCCCATATTCTAAGAGTATGGCTGCCGTACGACGACTCGCCGGGCCTCGCCATGTCACGGGCCTTCGGCGATTTCATGCTCAAGCAGTACGGCGTTATTGCAACCCCCGATATCTCTTACCACCATTTAAGTCCCGATGACGAGTTTCTTGTAATAGCGACCGATGGGGTGTGGGATGTCCTCACTAATGAGACCGTCGTGTCCATTGTCTCGTCGGCGAGGAGCCAAGAAGAAGCTGCGAAGCTTGTGGTCGAGGAGGCTGCAGCCGCGTGGGAGAGCAAATACCCGAATTCGAGAAGGGATGATTGTACTGTTGTTTGTCTTTTTTTGCGATAAAATTGAATGCGTCTTATATGGTTACGGATGTGCATTGAAAGCGAATCTGTTGATTCGAATATAAAAATTCGAATTTTTTTTTTGAAAAAATAAAAATAAAAATTTAATTTCAAGGTTTATATTTTCCAATTTCAAATTTTTGATTGAATTGATGGAATTGCAAGTGAACAATATAAATTTCGGTTATTTAAACTCTCTTTTTTTTTAAAACCAAATTTAGTAGGATAATTTAGAAAGTATTAAATGATTTTATGTAAGGTTGGTTTGTTTAGTATTTTGATTTGAATTTGGTTTTTATATGATGCATTGAAAATTGTATTGATAATGTAAAAAATAATATCTTATGTTAAAGTTGATTTTTGTGAGATAATAATATATATATATAATCGCGTCGTAAAGAAAAATTTAGGTAAATAAGCACCATGGCGTTTGTTTGGTTTGTCTACGACCTTTTTATTTGAATTTTACAATATTTTGATATTATATTTTATACAAAAATAATATATTTTTATTACTGTTCGAATAACAATTACAAATATAAAAATGAATAGTAAAATAAATTATTTAAAATTCAAACCAAACAAATCAATATGTAATATTGTAATGATATATGAAATTCAATTCAATTAAATTCTTACCTTCTTGCACGTAGTAATATAGATCTTCTCAAAAATTCATTTATTTCTAACTCTCTTTTCATTTAAGGTAAATACTCCCTCCGTCTCATATCTAGCTAGCCATTTGTTAGACAGATAATACGGACCAAACTAAAAAAAATAGATAAATTATTAAGGCACGGAGTAAACATTTTTTTGTCAACTTTATTGGTATCTCATTCTTCCCTTATAGATTGTTGAAGTTATAAAACAGTAGCTATACTAAACATAATCGGAAAGTACTTTTTCATATGCAACAAAAACCTTAAATAGAAAAACTAGGTGAAAGAGCTTTGTGTATATAAGAAAATTAAAACTCACAAACTTATTACATCTTGTTTTTCAGTTTTCACCGTCTGCATAAGCATTGCTGTAATATATCTTTATAGAGTTCAAAACTTCCCTAGACTGTGTTGTAGCTCCCATTTCCCTTGTCTCTGGGAACACCTAAAAATGTAGCAAGGATAACATGTGATGCATAAATATCTCTTGAAGAAATAGACAATAATACCGAAACAAATTTAAAATCCGGAACAGGGTATACAGTATTGTGTGTTGCTGAAACCCCCATGCTGCTGTGCCAAGGCATCACCCATGCTCTGGTGTATATCCATAAAAGGCAGAAACAATCCTGCTGTCAGCATCCACTTTTCGATTGTCCGTCAAACACAATGGATGAAGTTGGCAATTTAGAGCTGCTAAACCATAAGCATGTTGAGTAGCATTTGTTCTATCCAAGCAGCCAATGCAGTTGGTATGCAGAACTCCACTTTAAAACTGTGGTTTGGAGTTTTCGCTGGTGTCTTTCTTACTCTGGTGATTGCTTTCAGGTCCCTGGTCATGCTTGACCAAGGTATTAGTACCACCAGTAACTCTTCGAAAGCTCCACAGAATTTAGCTCTCAAATCCCTCAGAGAAGAATCCCTGTAGACAGCAGTGTTTGTTAATTTAAAAATGTCGGCACCCTCTTTCAGTTTTCCCCCTCTATTACTCCCTCGTGCTTGTGCACACATACTCATCACATAAACACAATGTTTAGTAAATCATAAGTAGATGCACCGGGAGATATTAATCATCTAGAAAATGAAATGAGAGGTGTTCAGGAAACATCAGCTTTGAAGTAGGTATATATATGCCTAGGTTTACATCAAGATTTTTGCTTTTCCTAAGAATTCAGCGCCGGCCTATGTTCTGGTTGGTTGCATTGGTTTCCACACTTTTATGTTCTGTGGAAGCACATTAATCTCACGGAGAACTCATCACAAGTTGCATAGACACACCCAAAAAGCATGTTAAATGGATCTAAAACATTAAAAATTTGAAATCAAAGCAACTTCAAATAATGTAATATTATAAGGATAATAACCTACTCCTAGCAAAGGTACAGTCAATGGTTCTGCTCAAGCCTAATAAGATCTGACTGCAATTTTCACTATAGACAAAAACCCCAAATACACAAGATTTTCTTCTGTATAATTTACCTATTCCTTTTACCTCCTTGTTTTTGGTACTAGCATTTCTTGTCATTGCCACTACTAATTTTACTGCTAACTACTACATTATCTAGACTTGGCAGGGATTTCAATGTGTTTTGGCAGTCTGCAGTCAGCCCTGAATTATAGATAGTTTTGAAATAGAAATTGACAGTTGTGAAGTAGAAGTAACATATCATTTAAATAAATATCAATAGCCAGTTTGCAAGCACCATACACAGATTATGACAGATAGACAAAGTAAACTAACATTAGAACTCCACCAAATGATATGTTCATGCTTTTGCCCTTTTGCCACAAAAATAGCAACAGAGATTATAGCAAGATGAAATACAGCAGAATCTACAAAATCAACAAATTTTGTACGCAACATGAAATTTTACGCTAACCTGAAAGGATCAACTTCCATCTGCAATGCAGATTGATTCCATGTGAATGCATTAAGGTTATCGATAAATGATGGCACATCAATCTCTATTTGCTTTTAAGATTTTCCATGTCTTTTTCTTCTTTTTCCACTTTAAAACAGCCATTTTCTCTGATTTCCACCTTCGGTATCTTTGTCGGTTCTTTAACCAAGCTGAATAATCTTTACCTTGTTTGCATTCAACAAAGCTAGCCAAATCATCAAAATCAGAGACACCATCTGTCTGTAACATGCACCTCAAGAATATCTCCCCATTGGTCGTCTCCTCGGTTTCTTCTTCCAAGCCTGCAACAGCCTCTGTGGATGTTGTGCTTGTGAAATTTTGTGAGCTAGGGCATTCCTTTTCATTACTATTGTTTTCCAATGAGCTGCAAAAACAGTTAAAACCATAAGCAAGGAAATTAGAGCCCAAGCAACTGCATCACTAATGAAACACACACACACACACAACAGATTATTATGGTCACAAACTTCTCAGAATGCTCCATATATGGAAACTGGATTCAACTGATAACCTAGGCAACATTCAACTGTTTTAGTTTATATTAATGAATAGGACTGTAAAAGACTAGAACAGGAATTGATTTTATTCATTGTTCAGCAATGAATAAATACCTATCACAAAAGGTGATGCTGCCTCAAACCCACAAAGAACTTGGTAACTTATCAACTTTAAAATATTGATCTCAACAGGGAAGTGTATAATAAATGGAAATATTAGGGGTCTGTCTTCTGGGCGATGAGTTATGAAGTATATTGAAGTTGTTAGAAATAGTGGTCAGAATGGGAGAATAGACTTTGTCCATATCCCACTTTGAGTTTTTCTGTAAAGCAATATACATATTTTTACTATAAAAACATATATAGGCGTATGTGTGATAAACCACCATGTTTATCCATCTTTGAGTTTTGCATAACCAAGGGCCTAATGGTCAACATTTCTTAATCTATATATGTTTATATACAGGATGGCTTTCAGCATTACACCCGCATAGATCTAGAATGAAATCAAAGAGACGTGGAAAGATTTGCCATAAGAGTCTAAAGAGCCACTAATACTTTTGTTAATTGGTAATTATACAAAGTAAGAAATGATACACAACACACAACAGGCTACATGGAATAAATAGTATCATCTTTTACCCTGAATATAGATTTCGTATCTTCTGAAACTTTGAAGCAACCACAAGGCTGACACTTTGGTCTGCTACTGTCTGCATCATTAGAAAAGTATATGAACACTCAAACCCAAAAAGATGCCATCTGTAAATGCCTACAGAAAGAAGAAAATATTTACCTCTTGGAGTCTTACACCTGATAATCTGGATGAAAAAGATTCTTTGTTGGAATCTACAAATGATTGTAGTACATCTACGTTGCCCTCCTCAAAAACAAATAAATTTAGTAGTGCAAGATTTGCCAACAAAGAGGCCTTCACTAGACAATCAAGACCACTTACAAAACTTATAAACATCAAGCCTGAAAAATGCAAAAACATCATTTTGGAATCCATATGTTGCCTTGAATGGTTTGACATTGCACTGAATAAATCCTTTTGCAATGGAAAACTGACGTCCAAATTTCTGAAACATGAGATTACACCCAAAAGGAAGTCATACTCCTTGCATGATGAAAAGTCTTTCAACGTTTTCATGCTGCCCGACTCATCTTTATGTCTAAAACACCAAATGGATTGTATTAGTGAGATGCTCATTAATCTCAATACAGAAGCAAGAAGATACAACTGCTGCAAACTTGTACCCTTGATCTGGTGTACTGCATTTTCATCAAAGCATTCAGAAGTTTTAAGAACCAGGCAACTTAAGATGATCAAAATCTCATCTTTGCATGGCATGGAATAATCATCTTGGAATTCCTTCACAAATCTCATGGATGAACTCACCAAATCAGATTTCATTCTGAAACAACAATCATTTATAGTCGTATCTGAATAGTTGTCTAAATTGGCGACTAGACTGTCAACTTTATGTTTTGTCTCTGGTAATATGTACGATTCAAATGGTAGATGAGCAATACCATGTGAAAAATTGGACGTGAGGTCCTTGAAAACAGTAGAAGAGACATCTGTTCGTAAGCAAGTCATATGCTTCATGTACATAGTGACAGACTTCTCAAATGCTGACAAGAAGTAGTTGATGTGTTTTCGATCGGGCTTCAAAATCTTGATATCAATAGCTTCAGAAACAAGCGAATACAAGTGAGCTTGCATGTATTTAGGGGCTGAATCCATTACAGGACTGAGGAATACTGATACAGCAGCAGCAACACCTAATGCCGGCTCTCTGGTTGGATATCTAAGTCTTTTGGAAGGTGCACAAAACAGTTGATTGAAAAAATCACCAAATACTTGCATATCTGACATTGATAGAATAAAATGGCTGCATATTGCTTCCATCACAATAGCTATATCTTCTTGATTAGAGCTAGGATTGAACAGAATTTTATCCCCAGAAGCAATAGAATTTAAAACCTTAAAGCACCCTCTTAATTTCCCATTCGATAGCAATTCATCCACAGATACCTGGAAAATACATTGGACTACTTGTAAAATAGCAGCAATCCATCAACGATTAACCAAAACCAGGTTTATCAACCATACGTCTCACCCAACTCAATTATAAAACATGTTACAACAGATAATATTTTCATTCCAAACTTCCAATTTACCCATTACATAATAGCACAATAGGTCAAGCGACACCATTGTGCAAAGAAATTTCTAATTTTATATCAAATGAAGTGTGTATATAAAATCTTAAAAATGGTGAAGACTTGAAATAAGAAACCAAAACTGAGGTATACAAGTATGGAATATGCATTTTGAAGGTTTCTAAATTACCTCGAGCATTGTGGTCAAGACAGAATGGAGAGGGTTGTGCGGCTCCAAAAACTGTAAAGAGGCTGTGAAATCCTCAGCACAGGATGTAGAGCAACCATTATTTCCAGGTGAACATTCACGAAAAACTGACTTCTCATAGGAGAATCTATGCTTCCCTGTGTTCTGAGGCACCTTTGGCATATTCAACTTTCGAAGAATCCTAAAGAGGATTTCCCCCTTTTCCAAGATGAGATTTTGTTGGGGTTCAAGCAAACTCAAGAGCAACATACAATTTCTGAATAACAAAACTGTTACTTCAAAAGAATCGAATATGCCCGAGTAAGAAGTCCTTTCCCAATCCTTGCTAACAGAAATGCTATAATATTTCAAGAATTGCTCAAACCTTTCATCCAGCTCTTTAAATAGTACATTTGAGAGTTCCAATATACTTTGAAAACTTGCTGTTATCCCACCATTACAAATGCTGAGTTCAAAATCATGTGACCCTGCAGCATTCTTGACAACCCACTGCGAATCATAAGATAAACGAAGGAGGAGTTCATACAAATCCTTCAATACCGGTGCTTTCATTCCCTGAAATATTGAAACATGTATCACATAACGAAATTCCAGATAGCAAATTTATTTGCCCTAACAATCAACCACACACACCCAACAGCCACGCAGAATCAAAATTCAGCAGTAAATGTATCATAAAAATAAGATTAGCAAATAAAAAGAATCCAAAGTCCAGAGTAGAAGCCCTAACCACAGGAGATAAAATCACGGATAAAAGGGCATTCAAGCAGCAGCCTGACTTGCCGGAAAAATCTTCATTCAAGCTTGTCGTCTGAGCGCCGTTTGTCTTCTTTTTTCGACCATAACGCCTACTGCCGGAGACATTCGAAGAAACCATAACGAAATTAGGGTTTGTCTGGTTCTGGTCTCGTTTTGGTGTTATGTAGCTATTGTGCTAAAAATTCATTCCCGCTCAACAACGAGACCGGCGGCGTCCGACAAGAGAAAAGGAATCTGAACAAAAATCACGCTATCCCTACTTTAGGCCACACTATCAACAGAAGTGCCCACATTATCCTTGAAGACCAGTACGTCGGCCGGCGCAAAAGCGCATCAAGCCTCTTCTCCCGCCTGTCAGCGAAGTGCAGTTCCTGAGTCGTCGGCGAGGCGTCGACGTTTCCGACCGAGGCGTCGTCGATCCTATCTGAGTAAGTGCCAAAGCAAATCCATTCAGCTTTCAGCAATAATTTGAAATTGATAACAACTAACAATTCGAAATTGAGGCAAATTTGAATTTACAAAGACCCGCGAAGCCGTAAAAGAAGGAGACGTCGAAAAAAGAGATACGAAGTGCGGAGAAGATGACGAGTCGATGGCCTGGGCCGAAGCTCTGGCGGAGAATGAATAAACAGAGAAGGAAAGACATGAGGTTGAAAACAGAATGAAAATGGATTTGGGCTATGCTAAAGTGGGCTGTAATTATAAAATATAAACCATTTTTATATCATTTTAAAATAATATAAATATTTAGTATCACAAAAAAACAAAAAATAAAAAATAAAACAGAAACTTTAAATGAAAAATTAAATTGATCAAATTGAATTATAAATATATACGTGTGTAGTTTTGAAAAAATATATTTTGGATTTGATACAAAAATAATATTTGATTGAATACTTTATAAAAAAAAATGTATTTATTTCGAAAATTGCAGAGTCCAAATAATAAAATCCTATAAACTTTGCTAAAGAAAACATACTCTTATAATTTATATTTGAAATTGGTTATTAATTTTAATTTTTGTTTAAATAGTATACTTATATAATATGTAAAATATATATATATATATTTTTTTTTGTCTCAACAAAAATTAAATTTTTATTATTTTTATCTGTTTTATTCAATATATATTACAAATATACCATTGCAATATGAATATATCTTTATAAAAAAATAAAATTTTATATAATATATAATTAGTATAAACTATAACATATGAACTAACAACGTGTTATAGTCTTATAGAGCATACGCAAAACTAGAAAAAATCTAAAAATATCAAAAGTTTAAATTCATTGCATCCACACTATTAATTTTCAATTGTAATTCTCAATATATAATACTAAAAAATACAAAATATTTTATACAAAAATTAAAAAAAAAATAAATCAAATATTCATTATAAAAAAAAGTAAAAAAAAAATCAAATATTCACTTAAAATTATATATATTATATAAGTTTGACATAATTTTTAATATCACACACTGAACATTATTTTATCCAAAAACACTAGAAGGGAGCCATTATTCACAAAGTTTATTATTTGGAAATTGTTTTTTTTTTAAAATATATCATCAAACGAATATAAAATTTAAATAAAATCTTTTTAAACTAAACTCAAAGAAATATTTTGGAATTTTAAAATATTTTTAAAATAAAACATATATATTTGATATGATATTTAAAAAAAATAGATATATATTTAATACTCCCTCCGTCCCGGTGCAAGATTGCCGTTTACTTTTTGTACATAGATTTTTGAATATTAATATTATAATGGATCGTATTGGAAAAAAACGAAAATACCCCTATTAGTATTGTGTAATATAAAAGTAATAATATTTGTGTAATATAGTGTAAATTTGAAGGGTATTTATTACGTTAGATAGGTAGTACAATTACTAAATTAGAAAATACTAACCTTGTTTTTGAACGAACGAAAATGGAAAATGGTAACCTTTCAATGGGACGGAGGAAGTATAATATTTTTAAAATTTATTATTAATAAATCATGAATAATCTTTTCTAAAATTATTATTAGTAATCTTTTATAAATTTATTTTTATTTATTTATTAGTATTATATAAATGTTATCATTTTTTACAATTGAATTAAATTACACTTTTACATAGACAAAATAAATTTTTGATCAATGAGTTTGTTTGCCCAAAAGTTTTTTTACACAATTTTTAATATATATATTTTATTCTATTACAAAAATTAATATTCAATATAAACTACTCCTTCGGTCCTAGACTATAGTCTGGGTTGTGTTTGACCCGAAATTTAATGGATATTGTATATTGGCAGTGGGTTAAAAGTATGGGTAAAAGATTTTTTTATCCTTGTGAGTGTATTAGTGTAAAAAGTAGTGGCAATTGTGTAATAATAATGAAAAAATAAGGGTAGTTTTATAGTAATATAGTTATTTATGGAAATGAAACGGTTGTTTTGGAATGGACAAAAATGGTAAACAAGACTATTGTATTAAGACGGATTGAGTATTATTTTTCAAAAATATTATTCATACAATTTTTGTATCTCACATTTAAAAAAAAAAAAAAAAAAACCCTCAAATCAAAACTTTTGGACAAACAAAACCAATATTTTGTACCAATTAATAATAATATATTAATATTTCGAAAATTTTGTTTTATAAAACTATGTCTCAATAAATTAATGTGGACGGAAAGAAATACTAATTTAATAGTAATTGTACTATCTACCTAATATAATAAATACTTTTCAAATTTACATTATATTACACAAATGTCATTACTTTTATATTACACAATACTAATAGGGATATTTTCGTCTTTTTACTACAACTTATTATTATACTAATATTCAAAAATCTACGTGCAAAAAGTAAACGACAACCTTGCACCGAAACAAAGGGAGTATAATAATTATTTTTTACTAATAATATTATTTTTAAATTTTTACGTCTACAATAATATAGACATTTTATTTGGGAAAGAGGAAGTATATACAAAGTTCACATGTATAATTTTTTTTTCAAATGTCTATAACATAATAATAAAAGTAATTTTATGATTTTTCTTTTTATTTGTACTATATTTTTTATAATAATTATTATTTACGTAAAAAAAATAAATGATATTTTAAAATGGAACGAAAATAATATTTAGTTTTATATATTTAAAATCAAAATTATAAAATAAAAATAAAATCACACCACAAAACCACGTCAAATCAAATCTATGACCCAATTGTGATCTGTGAACAAGCCCGGCACGGAAAGGAATAAATGACAGGCCAGGGCAGTCTCTCTTGCGATGAAAACTTAGATAGGCTTAGACAGAAGTTTTTGAAAATTTGAAAAAAAAAATTAAAATATTAGAATCTGATTTGTTTTTTATAATTTGATATACTCCCTCCGTCCCATAATAAAGTATCTATTTTTTTATTTTAGTCCGTCTTATAATAAAATATCAATTTTTTTTAATAATTATATTATCTACCTAACATTACAGATACCCTTACAATTTACAATATACTCCCTCCATCCCCAATCTATCTATCTCTTTGTTTTTTGCACTGAGTTTTAAAAATATTAGTATTATATTGAGATAAATTATAAATAAAGGTAAAAAGACTAAATTAACCATATAGTATTGTATGATATAAAGGTAACGACATTTGTGTAATATATTGTAAATTAGAAGGGTACTTGTAATGTTGCGTAGATAGTACAATTACTTTGTTATGGGATGGACCAAAATGAAAAAATAGATAGATTGTTAAGGGACGGAAGGAGTATTACACAAATGTCATTACTTTTATATCACACGTACTAATAAAGTTATTTCAGTCATTTTTATTTTATTCATACTATATTTCAATATAATACTAATATTTTTAAAACTACGTGCAAAAAACAAATAAATATTTACTTATGGAACGAAAGGAGTAATATTTTTTAAAAATTAAATAGTATCAAACGAATAAAAAATAATTATGTAAATAAAGCCTAAGTTTGAATATAACTTTTATTTTAAAAAATTATAAATTGATAAATAATAGAAATATATTTTAAAAAATAAAAAGGTAGTGTTTCTTGTCTCTAATTTTTCTATTTGAATTTTGTAATTTTTTTTAAATAAAAAAAATTATTATCATAAAATATTCTATTAAATATTATTTTTATATCAAAATTTAAACCAAAATTTTTCAAATCAATTTTTTTTTATTATTAAAAAAAACAAATACACACACCCAGTTCGTGTGTATTCTTTATTCCTCGTTATTATTTAATTAGTGGGAATAAGAAATAAGAGTAAATTAGAAACAAGTGCGTTTGTTTTGTGATTTAATTTGAAAAACAAAAAATAATGCAAGGTATAAGAATTAAATAGATAATATAAAAATAATAATTGCGTGTAATTTATTAATATTTTTGAAAAAATATATATTTTTTTAAAAAATAATAAAATCAGTGAATAAATTTTTAAATAATACAAATATATATTTATAATTAAGATAGATTAATTTTATAAGAAATGTGAAGTTTTAAATATGAAGAAATAGTTTTAAGTGTGTCGGAGGTGATGTGATATTATATAATATAAAATTAATTAAATTGATTTATATTTGTAAAATATATTTAAATTTAATAAATTTTATAAAAATAAAAATATATTAATTAAAATAATACAAAAATAAAATAAAATAAAATAATTAAAATGGGACAAAAGAATTACAAATGTTTTAATATAAAAAAACTACATTTAAATATTATTTAAATTCAAATTTATATAAAAATACTCAAACAAAAAGCATATTCAGCCATAGCACAGCCAGCGCTTTATTGTCCGGTGGTTCATTAAAGATAATAAAGATTCCATATTTATAATTATATATATTTCGTGGTAAATAAAGATTCTTAGTATTATCTTGTAGTATGTGAGTGTGAACGGAATCCCAAGCTGTCGTCTAAATGAGACAGAAAACGACAGCGATTTTCAAGTTGCGTGTAGGAACACCCATGTGGCCTGTCATTATTGATCCACTTTAATACTCCTCTTGGTTTTAATTTCTTTTATTTCAAAATTAAAATTAATTATACCGATGAAATATTTTAGATATTCGATTTTAAATTTGATTTTATTTATATATTAGATTATTTAAATTTGAATATATCGAATCAATTTTGTATTATATATATATATTATTTATTTTGATAATTAATAATACAATTTTATTATTTTTCTCTAAAATTTCTAGCAAGTATAAATATTCTCCTCCATTCCCTTGTAAGGAGGTCATTATTTCACACTATATTAAAAAGTAATACTATTTTCGTCCCAAAAGTATAGTCTTATTGCGTTGGGCACAATATTTAAGGAATATTGATATTATATGGATAGTTGGTAAAAAGTAAAGATAAATGACTTTTTTGCCCCTGTGAGTATATTAGTGTAAAAAAATAGTGAGAATTGTGTAATAATAATAAAAAAGTGAGATAGTTTTATGGTGATATGATTATTTATGAAAATGAAACTATTGTTTTGGACGAACAAAAATGGTAAACAAGACTATTGTATTGAGACGGAGGTACTGAAAAAAGAGTAATATTTG